GTCATTCGTAACGGCATTTGCATTGCTTGCAATGTAATCAAAGTTTGTCGAGCTATTTTTGGTTAGTTTAGTTTATTTAAAAATTAATATTATGATCTAGCTTTAGCTATAATTATACCATACTTCGATCAATTTACGTCATTCTGATAATTAGGCTATATTGTATCAAAATTTGTCTAGTAGCTTTCCAGTGAAAGCAAACCGTGTTTGTTTAACGTTCCATTCTCATGAACTATCCCTTCTATAATTTAAAACAATTAAATAAGCTATTTAAATGAGGTTTTTATTTATATCTTCATTATCTCATTGTTTATTGCGAAAGTGTTAGTTCATGCAGTTAATTTACATAATATGACGTGCTGCTATTGATAATACGTCCTATCATTGTAACGTCAATTAACATGCAAGGTAGGTTAAGACAAACATTAAGACTGTGGGATACATTAGCGACCTTTATTTTAGCGATGATCTCACACAGCACGAGGCATGAGTAAATAAAGCCGTTTGTTGTCTACCTACGTAACTGCTGACCCTTATTAGCGTGATTACTTCTACCAGTCTGATTTGGACATACTGTTGCATTACAGGAAGACACGCGCATTAGCGCCTCAAAATCACGCTCATTTGTATCAAGACAGACGGTTTTTGAACGCTTGACATTAGGAAAATCGTACGTAAAGTTGGAATGCGTGCGGCATTCCAACTTTATATACGGTTTTCCTAAAACTATTTTTGAATATAAATTATAGGGTAAATTGACTTTAGTTAAGTATTTATGTTTATAATAGGTATTGGTCTTGATATTAAATTTTATTTCTTTCTATTTCCCCGTTGAGGTTTATTTTGTTAATAACAGGTCATAAGAATGCGATTTTATTTAATACTTTAGCTATGATGGAATAAAAAGAATTTTATGCCTAGGAAGTTGTAAGGTGCTAGTAGGAAAATGAAGCATAAACATATCGCTCCTAGAGAATAACTAAATTCTTCTCTCTTCTTCGTTCCCAATAATAAACCAATAATGTTTGGCTTGGTGATGATTATATAACACAGTACAATCATCAATGTAGTCAAATAATAGTCTGATTTAATACTAGTTTTCAAGGTGGAAAAGTGAATGTCAGTATAAGTACAGTACACAGTATCTGAAAAATTTATCTCTACAAATAACTCATATACTGTTATCTCGTTGACTGTGATGTAAGAAAGTTAGAGTAATTAAATATCGTTAGCCTAATGAAAATGCACTCCTATATCATTTACATGTTTTCAATTACTTCTTAGTAACAACCAGGAGAAACGTTGAAATGAAATCAGGAGAAACCAAGAAAAACAACAAGTTGAAATGTTTTCCTAAAGTAAAGAGTTGCACAGTTTCATACAAAAAATGAAGTGACTCAAACTACCTCTAAATTAAACGTTTATTTATCTTTTAATATAGTTGTAGTGTGTTTGTTTATCATTGAAGATCAGGTCCCCGGCAATGACAACGCATCTGTCGGTCACTGCCAAAAATATGCGTCAACGTTCATTTTGCTTGCATAGTCATTCACAACATTCACACTGTTGATACGTTACACCCTCACGTATTAACATATATATATTTTTAGATTGCTTATTCTTAGTTTGTTCTTCATAAAAACAGTGGCTATATGACTGCACTTATAGTAATTGCGCCGTAAAAAAATGTGTCTAATAGCAGTTGGAAATAAAAACACCCGTCGATTATTGGTAGCACTTGAGATTGTACCTGTTTTATGATATCATTGATAGATTAGTTTTATTGTTCGACATCATCATCCGGCATGGTTTGTGCGGTAATCTTCTGCCTTCGTAACTTGAAGTCTTCGTGAATATGACTGATTGGAAAAGTGACCCATATCCTGTGTGGCTACTCACAGGTGCAAACTATGTAAATGCTAACTTTTATAATGATTAGTTAAGCTTTTTAAGGTACCTGATTTTTAAATCAGACTATTTATGGTCACTATACAAATATATCGGTTAGGGGTTTTGTCTTCTCAACTGAAGTAGCTAGTAGAGTGGGACGATATGGATAGTGATAAAAATTTATGACTTCCATATGTGGCCGAAAATGTTTTATATGAATAAATTATTTTCCCTTAAACAATATTGTTTCACTGTAGCGGATTTTTTTTTAAATACAGAACCTCAGTGTACTCCTATCGTCCCTTTAACTTTAATTGAGATATTGATTGTTCCAAATTCCCATTACATAAATCAAAGCCGTCACTTATCGAAGGAAACGGGTGTCAAAGGGCAATTCTTTCATCAGTCGGCAGTTCAGAAGTCAGGTGATACGGAGTCAATTAATGCGCCCACGCATGTGACATCACTGGGTTCATTGAGTATTGTAAATTACTGAACGAGAGTACGACCGCTGGAATGTGTAGTGAATGTTAAAGACTTAATTAGTTTTGTTCAGAACAGTTTAGAAGTGTGTTTACCATGTTTATCAAACTGAAAGATGAAAGGGATTCTCGATTCAATGGTATAATATGCTTATCTCTTTTCTATGTTTTATCAATCTTATTATAGTCGATAGCATTTTGTCTTATTAGCAGAAGTTTACTTTGTACAAAGTTGTCTGCTTGGGTGATAATGAGGTATCTTCACCCATTACAGTCAACCGCAAAGCAGCTTGCTTACTGGGTTTCGGTTGATGTGTTCGGTGAGATGTGGCAGTTGAAATGCAGGGTATAGAGTCATACATCATACATGATGGATTCAAATAGCACACAAATAGATCATGTCCTACATTAACAAATATTTGTATAAATTCACGCGTGCAGCGCCGCAATATACACTTAGTCTGACTTAATATAAATAAACTGTCAATCAATCTTCGTGACATTTCCATAACAATAACAATTTTAATTAAAATACATATATTTAAATATTATTTTATTTCTCGTAAGGTAAGTAGATTATATGTTATTCAGTTTTGTTCTTATCACCGGCATTCTTGTTGGTATACCTTATGACTAACTCGGTACGTGTCTACGATCAGAGACTCGCTGACTACTATCAATTGATAATTTCGAAGATTTAATTAAATTTTCGATGTTCGGATGTTTTCTATTATGAACGTTATTTTATTCGATCTAATGCTATATTTAATTTTAATTTAGTTTTGCATTTATAATTTGAATAATAATCGTACAGTATATTTAAATATAAGATAAAATATTAATATGCCAAGGGGTAACAATTTTATCGATATTTTCCGAGATCGATTTTTCTATTACAGATCTATGTCAACATCGGTGTTTTTATATCGGTCATCCCTATAGTTAATCCATAGCGCGTACTGTATATCCTGTAATCCTGTGGTTTTAATGCCGTGTGTTTGAAATGTAATATTTCTTTAAAGAAAAGGGTTAATGGTACTAGAGTCATATAACATCGATTTTTATGATGCAATATATACTAATATGTAAGCACATCTGGATTATAGCTACCTTAATCTAATTTGTCCGTACTATTACGTCCACGTACGACGTAAATGCCCGGCCGCAGTCTGTACAATCTGTAAATTGTGTCAAGGTTTATTTTATACAGAGAAACATTATTATATTTAAGAATAACATCCTTAGTCTTAACTATTAATAAAAAATAAAAAGCGTCTGCACAAAATCATATGCGTTGGTATCTATGTCTCACATAATCCAGCTTGATTTACACTTATTTGAAGAAGATTACACTGACGGGTTTGAAGGGATATTGCATTAAAATTACATGCATAGATACCAAGGGCGTTAAAGTCTATTTCCATTATACGTGGTTCGTAGTAAAAAATATATATACAAGTATGATGCTCGTACAAGGATCTAAAGTTGAATTTAACTTATTTTATATTCTTCCTAAACACTTTTTAAATTGATAGCAATAAAAGCTATTTTGTTAATTACTATTTAATAACTTAAAAACGTTAACGGTTACTTTCGACATTTTTTATGCCAATGCTATTATTAAAACGTTTAAATTCTAACAGTTCATATAATAAAATAACAAAAATATGCAAATGTATAAAACAATTAACTGTCAATGAACTTAACTGTATTACAAGAATGAAATAATACAGAATGCTTGAAAGAGAAAACAATATAATTTTAAACAACACGATTAGATATCTCTGTCGTTCGTTATACATAATATTCGAATGATTTTGTATGCATACTACAACCAGAGGCGTGTCTCCAAAATAATATTGTAATTGTTTCCTCGGTCTAAGAGTGCATACTTACTCGTAGTACTTTCTATGGAAAGTTCTTTGTCCTTACCTCGTTACAAACACGTGTTATATAAAGTTATAGTTCAAGTAACTGCTGTTCGTTCTTTCACAGAACGAACAGTTTTATGTATTATTCTATAATTTTATCTAGTTTTATATTTATTGTGTATTTGCAAAGTAATTGGTATGACAAAAAAAGTTGATAGCCTTTTTTTGTCATACCATGCTTTTTTTAGTATTCCGTTTACGGTATACTATTGATGGTAAACTATTGTCTATATACATCACATTATAATATCATTCAATACGTTACTATTCGTAATAATTAAAAATAATTACTGGACTTAATAGACAAATATTAGGTATATCCTATTTTTATTTATTAGCGGACGAAGTCGCGGTTACAACCAGTAGCTACTAGCTGTAACCGCGACTTCGTTCGCGTGGAATTTAACATTATTTTTCTAAAATAAAAGTAGCCTAAGTTACTCCTTATTACATCAGCTACCTGCCAAAAAAGTCCCGTCAAAATCGGTCCAGCCATTTCAGAGATTAGCCGGAACAAACAGGCAAAAATTGTAAAAAATTAAAATTGTAAATATTTTGGTGTATGTACCGTATTTATATTCATATACATGTAGCAAACAACGATTACTTCAATATTACAAACGGACACTCCAATTTTATTTATATGTATAAATTATATCCAATTGTTTGCTCATTATGCATATTTTCATTGTTCCAGGTGGCTTGGAGGGCAAATACAGAGTCGCCGCTCCTGAGCTCATGCAGGATACCTTCATGAGCGACTCTGAAGACGAAGGAGGTATGTAGTTTTATAGTGGTATTATTTAATATTCTTATCTATGGTAGTATTCATTGAATAATAACAACATTTCTATTATTTTATGCTTGCTGTAATCTTACTAAAACGCGGTAGAATTAGAAGCTAGAGCATACAAGCAAAAATTATAGTAGTAATGTTTTATCCAGAAATGTAGAGACAAAGGTACAAGACCTTACAGCCCAATCTTGTGTAAAATAATACTAATGTTACTACTGATTGTTGATAGACAATAGTTGTTAAATTTCAATATTATGAAATCTACGACACTTTTTTTTTTAACTTATTGGAATGGCAAACTTGAATGTGGTTATCGTCGCCTATATACATATTCCACTGGCATTGTGACACAAGTAATACCACTTATGAATTGCCATTCTGGACAACTAAGATGTTGCCTTCTATCCCTTAATTATTGAATGACATTCAATAATTAAGGGATAGAAGGCAATATCCTGACCGAAACCTATATCACACAAACATATAACCCATTCCTAACCGAAACACAGCTTACAAACCAGGCTGCTTGGAGTTTGAAATAGGTACGACTGAGGTACCCACGTGGTCGAGTTCGGTAAAAATAAATTAATAGTGAAGTCCATTTTAACATAGGTTTATAAATAAAGACCAATTTAAATATACAGAAGAACACGATATACATAGACGATGTAGTACCTCAATTTGTATGAATAGTACGTTGATGTAACGAAAGCTATTTATAGCTCAAATCAAATCGTCTTGTATCCATCTGTAATTCTGTTTCTATCAGTACTTTACCTTTCTAAATATATTCTATTTATGTGATAGAGCATCGTATCCCGGTTTTTGTAACTGCGTCTTACGCTGAATGGTCTTGAGTTCGATTCTGACAGACACAAAAGATTTATGTGTCTATTTATATTTCAGAATTCAAATAATAAAGAAACACCGTGTGTGTCACCGAAAACGTGTGTTGTATTCAACCCGTCAGGTTTTATTTTTCACTACCCCATCGTTGATAACAGTCGTCAACGATCAGCCTAAACTCGAAGATAGAAAGCTGAAATGACATGTTGTTTTTAAGACGTAGACGATGAATAGATTTTTTTAAATAGAAGCATTTTCGAAGGCGATATAATGGGATTTTACAATTTTGTAGAGAAACAATAAGATGTAAATATTCCCACTTAATAGTAGCAGTCCTAAAAACAAGTAGGTTCACACAAATTTCTCAAATAGTGCCCTTGACTAAACAAATAAAAAATATTTAATAATCTAAAAAGCTTTATCGTTAGATCTTAAAAAATGATGATATTTCACACAAACTGTCATCCCCTATTTTAGATAATTTAACGCGAGCCAAACTAAATACTAGTAACTGTATAAATACGGGTATGTAATGTGATTGCAGGCGAAGTAGAGTGTCCAATCCAGCAACAGCAACAGTACCGCTACATGAACAGCGAGGCGGGCACGCTGCACCGGGCGAAGCCGCTCGAGGACAGCGTCACCGACGGTCACCTGTGGCCCAGCAACAATGACAAGAAAGTGGCCACCATCGACCGCCAACCGCTCGACATCGGGTCAGTACATATACATAAGATCATTATATTAAAGATTATAGTAATAAACATAAGTAAAATACAAAAACTACCAATACTGTATTTTGGTAGTTATTTGTAGTTTCCGCTCTTTAGTATAAGCTTAAACTAAACAAAAAAACTACAAATAACTACCAAAAGCAAAACACATGAAAAAATGAGCAATACAAAAATCTGATTCCTTGTCAAGGCGTGTTAGGCATTATGTTAGCAGTAGGTTTTTCACATTTTAGGCATAATAAAAAAAATATTACATAATACTTTTAAATTATAGCCTATGTGTTCTGAGTATAAGTTTTATCGAAATCCGTTAAGTAGTTTTTGTGTGAATGAGTAACAAATATCCATCCATCCATATTTACAAACTTTCGTGTTTATAATATTAGTAAGATCAAAAATAGCATTATATTAAGACAGTATTCCTAATTTGAACGTTATCAAATCATATATTATTGTGACCATATTTTGCTTCAGGTTTCTGGTGTCGTTCGTGGTCGATGCCCGTGGTGGAGCTATGAAAGCAAAGCGTCGCGGTGGTGTCCGCATCATCGTACCGCCAGCCGCCTGCGCCGCACCTACACGCGTCACATGCCGGTACGAAGTTATATTTTTTCAGCACACTTCCTCTTAAAATGGACTAATTTCTCCGGGTTTCGATATATAAATCAGCCACAAACATGCGTGCGTTATAATTATTATAAATGTAAATAATGTAATGATATTCCATAACCGCACTTTTTGCTATTTGTTTTTTCAATTCTCGAACTGTCCGCCAACCAGTAGACAGAGCGCTGATTTAAAAATGTAAAACGGCGGGAAAGCAACATTGTGCATCACAATTTTATGATTGAGTTTAATTAAAATCAAATAAGTTGAAGAACGTCATTCGATATACGTGTGTATGTAACACAGTCAGCTCTATTCGCCATCGCCTTCAGCTTGGGTTGAAATTCTGCCTCGTATGTTATAACCATCATAATACGCTATATATATATATATATATTCATTAAAGCCATAAAACTGAAAATCAGTATTTTAAAATGTACAAATATTTATTTTCTTTTTATTGCACATAAAATATAAAATTCATGGAAACAGATACAGAATTCACACAATTTTATAAATAGCATCGTATATTCGCTCTGAAGCTCAATGATTAACGTCTATTAGCGCATCGAAATCTATTAAAATTAGCAGCATTAGAGAAACGCGGATATCCTAATGAACCAACAATAGCTAGTTGAGTCATGTATGTGACCAGGGACTTGGGTAGTTGCCACTACATCTTGAACGAAATATGGTTTCCGCTGGCGTTTATGTGATCATATAAATGTTTAAATGTTCTATAAAGTATCCTATAATAAATTATGTTGATAATTATTACATACTTAGAATTTGTTTCTGCTTACCAGCTATAATTATTGATTAGTATGATATTCAAAACGTCCGTCTTCCACGTTGTAGTGCCTAAAAGGTGCATGTTATGTATATGAATTATTTCATTGTATACCATAATTGTGTAAAGCAACATGAAGAATAATAAATAAATAAATAAAATCTAAATTTGTTGCAATATGGAAGCATAAAAAGCACAATAAATTCTTATTTCTTCACTTATATTTATACACAGTATAAAATTAAGTCGCTTCCGTTGCTGTTCGCTTAGATCTTTTAAACTACACAATGGATTTTAATGCAGTTTTAGTACTAGATAGAGTGATTCAAGAGGAATATTTATATGTATACTAATATATACACCCGTGTAAGGCCGGGGCCGGTAGCTAGTTAAATATAAACCTTAATTTCATAAATAGTTGCCTCGGTTTTTTAGGATTTTAGGAAATGTGTGTACTCAGGAATTAGAATGAAGCTTTAATTTAATGGCGTGTTAGAATAAATATCAGGGTAGGCAGTATGGACAATTACTTTTCATGTCCATTTGTCTAACGTTAGGTATATTTAAAACTTAGAAGAGACTAGCCGCGCCGTTCATCAAAACATATAGATCCTTACTATAATTCCATCCGAGCAAAGCCGGTGAGAGTCGGTGGTATGTAGTGGAAATTAACATAAACTACGAATAATTAACATTGATTTTTGTACATAGTCTCATGTGTAGAGGAAATGGACTGCGACCTATTGACATTGATTTTTGTACATAGTGCGGCGACTCGCAGAGCACCGGCAGCGGCGCCGCCGCCGCTAATGGAGGGCGAGGCGTTGGCTTCAAGACTATTGGAGTTGCAACCGCAAGGAGCCAAGTTCTTGGCGTAAGTATATCAAAATTACTCTAATCATAAGTTAAACTCTTATATACACAAATATTCGTGTATATAATGTATGTATAAAAACCCCAAATGGTTCGATATTCAACTCATTTTATTACTTCAAATTATGTACATAAAACAAATATTGTCATACAGTCCAGTAGTGATTGAAGTACCCATCTTCACATCTTCATGCCCCGAACGCGAGATTGTGATCCTACGATCCGACACTGGTGAAACCTGGCAAGACCACTATCTGCACAGCAATGACAACCCTATGATACAGGTTAGTTGTAATCTTTTCTTCTCGAGAGTTCTTGCATATATATTCATCTTGTACTTTTTGACTGACTTCGTTCAGATAACTATGATTAAGACGACGCATCTCAAATATGGGCGTTAGTGATCTCAGTTTTTCTCAGAAATTACAAACCATTCGGAGCAGATATTCATTTATTCCATTTTTCATAGCATGCCATTCCAAAGGACTTAGATATCATGCCTCTTATTCTATAACATCACTGGCGAAATACAACTATATTTCGAGCACGCGAATTTGTATATGTAAACCAAGTTTTGTAATACATAAGACCACGCGAGTTCTGTCAAGTACGTATCGCATGAGAAGAAGAGAAGAAATTTCGTAAACTAAATTAAATTTTATATATCAGGAGGCACTGCAAAAGGAAAGACAAGAACACGGCAACAGCGGCGAGACATTGGGCGAGAACGGCGAGCGTGTAACCCGCATCATCACGTGCGACTTCCCCCACTACCTGGCGGTCGTATCTCGCATACGGCAGGAGGTGCACATCATCGGCCCAGAAGGAGGCACCGTCTCCAGTGCTCATATACCACAGGTATTTTACATATTACAATCACCCATGCGATGGACTGAACAGGTCAAAGCAGCGGTAGGCGGTCCATTCCACGAGTGTACCAGAAGCAAGCAGTAGGTTCAAATGGCGAGCTATCACACGGCTGATGACATCAAACTCTTATATAATGACCACAACTGTTCTGTCCAGAACGTATTGATAATATTGAGATACCTGGACAGTATTGGTTGGAAGAAGTATTCCTGGTAGTCAAGTTTCTCAACTTGTTGAATCGACTAAGAAATATCACAATCCAATGTGTAGGCCCGATTGCCCGTATACCAAATTGTGCTATAGACTTTTTCAAGCGTATCCTCAGCTCGTGCGTTTATGGATTACAATGTTATAGAATATTGTAATCTGGTACTGGGTATACAGGCGCAGGCATAGTTCCCGGTATGTATCTTCTGCGTGCTGTTATATCCCCGTATAAATAGGGTTTCAGTTAACACAGTACAACAATAATACCGAACAAAAAAGACGATTGTTTATAGCCATCGTTTTTTTTTATAATAGTAACTAGAATAAATCAGCCCAATACAAGATTCCGAGCTATTAACCCGAGATTAATTTAAGCATCCAATTATTTATATTAACATTAACTTTAATAAAAATATTTAATTATTAAATAATAATATTTATATTAACATTAGTCAAAAATCTATTTTTTAAAAAGGCTTCTGGACTCAACCGACTGACTGTGCGTAATATTGTAATGCGGTACCGGGTATACAGGTGCAGGCGCAGTTCCCGGCGGCGGCGCTGACGAAGCGCATCCGCGTAGGGCTCCAGGCGCACGGCGCGGCCGCAGCGCTGCAGCGCCGCGCGCTGGGCCGGCGCGGGGCGGCGTCGCCCGTGCTCACGGTGGAGCCCCGCCGCCGCAAGTTCCACCGCACCATCACCCTCACCGTGCCGCTGCCGCTCCACTCGGTGCGTATTTATTCTTTACGTGTCACGGATGTCACGCGTATACGTGATATACGTATACAGCGGCATCACGTGCTGCGGAGGAATGGCTTTTTTCCTTAGGTTCCACCGACGTCACTAAATGTTTTTGCATTTAATCAGATTAATTATAAAAAATATATATTGGTGTAGAAATTAACAATACCATTAGGATGGATGTGAGAGACGTAACTCTAAGCAATTGGTTCAAATCTTCGCAGGTCAAATCGTACAGCTACTCCTTTTATACGTTCAATGGCTTGCCTTTACTTTACTACAATATTTTACACAGATGCAAAATCAACAAGATTTTTTTACATTATACACAAAACCATATGGTAAAAAGCAATAGGCTAAGGCAATAGCGCCATAAATGCGTAAGACCTAAGGCCAAAAGCATATTATAATATATATATATATATTATTTGTAAATAAATATCAGTAAATAAGTATCACATACATATGTGCATATATGTAGAAAATACCTAGACCGATACAAACCATGATAATCTATAAGTATAAATGTTTATACAGTGTGAGGAATCGAACCCACGACCATTAACGTAATGCGCTGTACTAAACCGCTAGACCACCGGGGCCGTCAAAATATTCCCCACAATTATCATGTTAACAGTAAGGTGTTATGTACAACAGGGCGGCGCGGCGGAGAAACCCCCCACGTCGAGCCTGCGGCTGCTGTGCTCCATCATGGGGGGGCAGGCCCGCGCCGTCTGGGAGGACGTCACCGGCTCCACGCCCCTCACCCTCACAGAGGACTGCGCCTCCTTCACCACCACGGTGTCCGCCAGGTAAAATACTTTGCTAAAGTAGGTGCATTTTTATTTTAAAATATTTATTAATTTACTTCTTAATATTATTTATATAACAGGATCCATATAATATAGAGCTAAAAGCAGTATTTCCCAACCTTTTTAATATTCTTGTGTGTCTTCTTATAACAGGACGTTGTTGGGACCCGGTCCACTAGCGCTTAGTTATTATTAAAATTTTAATACTTCATTTTATTTTAAGGTTCTGGTTGATGAACTGTCAGAACGTCAGCGACGCAACAAAGTTAGCCACCGAATTATACAGGTAAGATTCATTTTGAAACAATAATTTTATAATTTTACCAAACTACATAAATATACCAATATAGACGACTATTATAAATAATAATAATTATATTTGCACTTTCTCTATGATAAACAAATACAATTACTGAGTAGTTGACTTGTTCTTGATTTTTTATGGCATTTACCCTAGACTAGATGCTCAATTTACATTTATTAAAATAAATAAAATTTCTGTTATATTAATTACCCCTTATGACATTAACTATCGGCGAGTGAAAGCCCCTTCGGTTATCGGTTCAACTCGCATAATCTATACTATACTATATCGTATGCAAGTTACGTGCCCCTTTTAACGTTGCTCACGTGACCCATGTGTGGCGTTGTCGTGGTGAATGTGTTTGTTTGTGGTGACCATAGAGAGATGCTGGTGGTGCCGTTCGAGGCACGCGTGGTGGTGCTCGGCAAGCGGCTGGATGCACTGGAAGGCCGCCTGCTCGTGCTTTACATTACCGATAGATACGCTTACGACACACTGCTTCATCAGGTATGATACCACGTAATCTAGTATTACCTGTATCGATACACATATCTTTATTAGGGAAAATACTATATTTGGAAGCGTAAGGTAAGAAAGGTAAGTCAAGCACCTGTAACCTCGTGTTAGAGTTTCCTGATCTCCTTATCACGTACCAGTGATATTTTCACTTCCTATCACTCAATTCACTGTTAATATTTTAATTAAATAAAGTCGAGGTGACGAATACGTTCGTGCTCTGCTACAGGTAAGAGAAAAAAGGGGGACAAAAACTAACGGGCTTTAATATGGTAATCTGTGGTTATTTCGGTTGGGTTTATTTTAAACAATCTTTATTCCTATAATACAATACAATTTATTGCTTTGAGATTTCTCTTAGCAGGGATAGGAATTGCAAATATATATATATAGATGATAAAACAGTGAAATTATCTGCATTCCCTTGTATAGGTCATAATATTACATTAATTAAATACACAAAGTTACAAGCTCTACTGAGTACGGAGTACTAGATTGCGCAGTGTCCGTTAGTGTTTGAGGGTTATGTATTATTAAAAATATATTATTCTGTATACAGGAACACTACACGGAAGTGGCACACTCGACGTCGGTCCGTTTCCTGGACGGCAAAGAAGTATACCTAGAATTCTCGGGAAACCTCATTCCAGTTACTAAATCTGGCAGCCAGCCTATGTTGACATTCGAGGTAAATTTATTACTATAATATGTTACACCTATCTTTATTATACAATAATTGTGTATATTATATACGTGATAACTGTATGTAAACTTGTATGTAATTGTAATGAATAAGAATCCACAGTCCATCATCATCACTGAATCATATCAGTCTAACTGATAATAAGTGGTAACCGTCGTTTATATGAATATCGCAAACCTAAGATATCATTGATCATCATTGAAGCACATTTTACAAAGCTAGAAGAGAAAGTTTGTTTACCTTAGTAATAATTGGCGTCTATATACAATAAATGCAACTTTTAGCATGCCCAGATTTCAATATATATATTGAAAATATATAGAATATATATAATTGAAATGATGTCATATATATAGTTCTATTTATATGACATAATTTCAATTAATTGAGTGGGTCCTTTGGTTATTGGTATTTCCATCATTGAATAGTCCATTAAAAATATAAACATAAACACAGAAATTCCTAGTGGTCTACTAGCTCACGATCCTTTCTATATAAATATCAGTGAAGATAATGTAATTTGTTTCAGGCATTCAAAGATAACCGCGTCGAGTTCACGGTGCGCGTGAAACACCATGAGGAGAGTCCCTCCGGAAGAATTTACTTCATGAACGAACCCAAGGTAATTTACGCTTTTTATATTAACATGTACATATACTATATATATAATAAATGTATTAACAAATATAGGTGTGTAACAAGAAATAGTGGTTCATATTATAGAACTTTCGGATCACAATACTTTTAGTATTAGGTATATTATAGATTGACCCCTATTTATAAATAATAATACCAACGAACCTTTTTGCTATTAGGGAATTTTGTTACTTTTTTCAAATGAACAAAGTTAAACAAACGTAAACGAAAAAGTAATGCATTTTAAACATTATTTTAGAACATGTTAATGAGGATGTTCTAAATTAATATTATAAAAAGGATTTAATTTGTTTTTAATACCTACATACACAAAATATATATAGTACAGATCTATTTTGTTTTAACAAACCTTTGAGTTTCCTATATTAATAGTATAAAGATGTGGTATATCGTTATGAATATTGAAATTAGAGTATTAGGAAGCAATCGACCTTTATGACTTAACATTTCATTAATCATGAAATATGCCAGGTGCCCAAGGGCGAGCAGTCACAGACTCCGGCGTGCGTACTGGATGTGCAGCTTCCGGACAGCATCGTGCCTCGCGCTGGAAAGAGCCAGCTCGACTATCTTAACCTGGACCAATCCGGTGAGCATATTATCTATACGCACCGTGACCATCGGTAATAAGACGATGTGTTAAATCACTTGGCCATTTTAGCCCAAGGTGTTAAGCATTTTAAAACAAGGCCAATTATAGCGAGTTTATAAATGGAAAGATCCTCACTTATTCTTAACCACCATATGATATTTCAAACTTAACATTCTCTATGTATCATAGGCTTCGACGCATTGAAAGACGAATTGAGCTTCCACTGGGGAGGCGATCACAACAATAGCCTAGGCCCCGGTTCACTACCTTACCAGAACGACAAACAGATAAACGGACACGTAAGTAAACAGTAATATTATTTTCAGTTGATGTTCAGTTACCACGTCAAATTTAAGAATTCTAAACAACTAATATAACTTGGGAAATATCTTTTTACTTTACAGGATAAAATTATAACCAATGGTGACGTCAAATATCCTACGAAAGACACAGATGACTCGGTCGCCAAACCTCAAGGTGAATATGAAGTACTTACCTAAATTTTTTTAGTGGACGACCAACAATCCCTTCGCTCTATATTATTTTATTGTTTCGGTTTAAAAAAATGAGGGTGTAATCAGAATAATATTGCGAAGATGTACCCATACAATACTTGATTACACGAATGTCTAACATCAATTTCAAATGATTGCATCAATGAAATTATCAAACAATAAAAAGTTTAACATGATACTTTTAGTTGATATAAAAAAATAACAAAATAATTAATAATGTCTCTAATTTACAGTGAATGGTGACACAGTACACGTAGATTCAAACAAAACTAAAGCAACATTCGATTCCGATGAGGATAAAACACCAATGAATACTTTAGAGAAAGGTAAAAAGAAAGCAGAAGGAGGTTCCTTCTTTGGAGGTCTCGCAGGCAAAGTAAAAAATGTGTTCAGTCACAGCGAAGACAAAGACGAGGAAACCCACGAATCGTCACCAAAACCTCAGCCGAAGCCCAGGGAGTCTAAAGAAAAGAGCCCACCGAAACCTGCTCCCAGAGTTATAAACGAGGACTTACTGGATAAAGTTGAAGACATGTTCAAGGATCTTAAGCAGAAACCAGCGCATAAGCATGATGACGATTTGCAAAGTGAAGTGTATACTACAAAGTTAGTAATCAATGAAAATGACCGTCCTATTAACGAAATACAAGAGGAAGTTTATAATCAATATGCAAATATGCAACCAGTGGAAACGCCACAATATAATAAAGTAAAAGATCCATTCCAGTATCCTAAATGTTGTGACAGTAAATATAAACACAGTCATGAAGAAACGTCAAATTTACAAGATATTATAGAACACACAAACTTTGCAACGCACGAAAAATTGCAGGAAGGCAGTGGTAGTGTAAAAAATAGCTTAAACGATGGCTTGGCTAAATTGGAAAAAGAAAAGGAAAATGTCAAACAGAAAGCAGATGAAACTAAAGATAATGTTGTTGAGAAATGTGAAAAAGTAAAAGATGACGTGAACAGTAAAAAACAGCAATTCGAAACAATTCTTCAGGATAAAGTGCATGGTGCCCAAGAAAAATTAAATGATCTTAAAGAATCAGCACAAGAGGTGCAAGATAATATCAATGTTAAAGCATCAGATATATCTTCAAAGGTTGCTACTGAATTTAATAATATAAACTCTACCACAAAAGGTAACGTTGATCACCTTATACACACTGCAAGTGGAGTTACAGTAGATTTAAAAGACAAAGCAAACGAAATTAACTTTGCAGCTTTAGAAAGAGCAGAACAACTCAGACTTAAAGGAGATGATAAGTTATCTGAGGCTGGAAAAATTATTGAAAATAAAAGCAATGATCTCAAAAACAAAGCAGACGATTTTGGAAATCACATTAAAACAAAAACTCGCGATGGTATCGATGTTATGGCGGATTCCATTAACAGTGTGAAAGATAATTTAAGTAATACAGCTCAAGAAGTAAAGAGTGGAATTAATGAAGCTACTGTTAAGATTGAAGACGAACTAAACCAATCAGTTGACAATGCAAAAGAAAAAGCTGCAGACCTCAAAACTAAAACTGATAACGCAAAAGATGACATTAAATCTGAAGTTAAAAAGAAGTCGAAAGAAGGCAAAAACTTTTTCACTGGACTTGTACATAATATATTTGGAGAAAAAGATAAAATTGAAGATGAAGTTAAAGGGAAAATTGCTGAAGGTAAGGAATCGGCTAAAGAATTAGCGCGAGAAGCCTCAATCAAGAAGAAACAGATTGAAAAAGATGTTTTAAAAAATAAAAATGAAATTATAGAGAGTGCAGAACAGTTGGCTCGGAATGTTCATGACAAAAAAGAAGAAGTAACTAAAGCTATTAGTGATAAAAAAAGTGAAACAGAAATGACCGTACGTGATAAAACGGAGGATCTGAAGAAAACTGCACAAAATAAAACAGAAGAAATTAAAGTAGCTACTCAAAATGAAGTCAATGAAATTACAAAACAGGTCCAGGATAAAAAAGACGAAGTGACTAAAGCTATTAGTGATAAAAAAAGTGAAACTGAAAAGGCTATACGTGATAAAACGGATGATCTAAAGAAAACTATACAAGATAAAACAGAGGAAGTCAAAGTTGCTACTCAAAGTAAAGTCGATGAAGTTACAAAAGAGATTCAAGATAAAAAGGAAGAAGTAACTAGTGCCATTCAAAATAAAAAGGACAGTGTAGAAAAATCTATCCATGATAAAGCTAATGATGCTTTAACGTTGCTTCAAGATACTAACAATACATTCCATAGTGAAAAAGAAAATTTGCAAACAATTGCGCAAAATAAAGTAGACGAAGCAAAACAGAACCTTCAAAATAAAAGTCATGCAGTTATAAGGGCTGTAGAAAATAAAACGGAAGAAATAGATCAAACAATTAATGATAAGAGAGATGAAATAACCAAATCATTACATGATAAGAAAGATGAATGGGAGAATGCCATTCACGAAGACGCTAATAACGCGCTCAATGCCGTTAAAAATACAAAAGATGAAATAAAATCTGCTGTTCAAAATAAAAACGTTGAGATAAACGAAGCGCTCTCCAATAAAAAAGAGGAAGCAAAAACAGAATTAGATAGAATAAGATATGAAGCAGAGCAAACGACTGAAGAGATAAAGAGATCTGCTGAAGATGCTTTGAATGCTGCAGTTGAAAAGGGCAAAGACGGATTTGACAGTGTTCAGAAGGCAGCTATTGACAATGTAAACAGTGTGCAGAGATCATCTAAGCAAGCGTTCGATCACGTTCAAGATTCTACCCTAGGTACTCTCGATAAAGTCGAAAGTTCAGCTAAGGATAATGTGAAAGACGCTAAAGATACATGGGAAGATCTGCAAAGTTCTACGCGTGACACGTATGCAGATTTTAAGGATGATGTTCACAGTTTGGGTAGTTCTGCGCAGGATACTTTACATAGTTTCCAGAGTTCTGCTGGTGATACCTTTGATAGCTTAGACGATTCTGCGCGAGAGGTCTTTGGTGGAGTTCAAACTACGACTCAGAATGCTGAGACTCGCTCCAAAGAGTTATTTGGTGACTTAAAAGATTCTTTTGAGGGTTTCCAAGTGTCTGCGGATAATAAGTTAGAGGATGTCAAGGGCGCTGCTAAAAACACTTTGGAGGAGACTGAACAAAGGTTAGGCGAGAGTATTCGTGGTACAGAACAGGCAGTTGTGGATACAGTCACCACCGAAGCGGACAAATTTACCAGCAGTCTCAATGACTTGGGCAACTCTGTGTTCGGATCTTCAGGCAAAGGTAGCCTAAATTTCCTTTTTATATATACATATATTGATATCTCGACTCGCGATGTACGGGATAAATATTTAATTACTAAAAACCTATTCTTTCAAAATTTGATTCGTCTCTAATTTCGTATAACTTAAAAGACAAGATAAATTAGGCATTGTATTTGTAGTTATTGTATTTGTATTGGTAGTTATTGGAAAATTGGACCTATGGGAAATAAGCTAAGAAATTAAGGACAATAATTCCAGTTAAAAAATCGCTCAAAAATTCTTACATGTGCTTTCGAATTGTATCGTAATTATTTGCTAATATGATTTCAGTTAGGTTGTTTACAAGCATAATTCAAATGTTACATATTGGAAACTGTAATTTTGCTAGAGAGCCTCTTAGTACAAATACCCAAATCATTCCTCCTACAACGTTATTGCTCTTTCAAATATTAATTATATATAATTAAAATTAGTATTTCAATGAATATTGAATCAACATTGGTTACATACTTTTAAAAATCGTCTTGTAATTTTCAGGATTCATGAAAGATTCAAGTTCCAAATTATTGGAATCCGAAAAAGCACAGTCTTCGCCGCACAAAAAGGGTTCAGGGTAAGTTTAAATAATTATCTAAATATTTACAAATTAAATAAATGTAAGGCATAATCAATAAAATGTGTAAATAACGACACGCACCGTCAGCACCGAATTAATTCACTTTACAATCAATACATATTTTAATCTTGAACATTAAATAATAGTTAATATTCTATTTTACATACAACGATTTTGAAAAGTGGTCAAACCATTTCTTCTGTACAAAATAAAATTACTCTATATCCATAAGATATATTTATGTTCATAATTAAAAACAAATAGTAGTAGAGGTACAATTTAACATCACATTATTATTTTTGTTAATCAAAAATATAATTAATAAGTTAGAGTAATAATATTTATTAATATAGTTAATCGGGTCTTTAGACGAATAATTTTATCCTAAATAAATAAGTTATTTACCTTCCTAGACGTTCTCTATCTAACTGGTCGAAACGTCGAGAGAAGTACTATATTTACCATCAAATTATTATCGTATTACAATACAGATGCATAAATAGATCTTATGGAATTATACATAAGCATATAAACCCACGATGCCTGCCTATAACCCACCATGCACGCATTTCAGAATACCGAAGCTAAAGCGGAAGAAATAGACGGCGAACGAACGGCGAACGCAAATTGTATGATATAGTTGTTTAGTTTTATTTATTATTGTTACGCTTTTTACAATTAAGCGATTATTTCAATCTATTCCAAAATAAATAGCGACGAATTATTACTGATTAGTAATTACCTCATATATTAATTTATTTTTCTGTGTAACAAAAATTTTGAATGAAATAATCGTTTTATTAGTAGATAGGCGCACTGTATGTAACGTAACACGATGTTCTATATATAGAAGAGATTATTTGTATGTTCATCCGGAATAGTCACTCCCATAAATTAAATTAAGTATTTTATTGTGTAAAAAATTTACTATTTACATTTTGACAACTGATAACAATTCCGATTTCAAAGAAATCAATTTATTAAATGTTTTTAACTTATATACATATATAAATTAAAAAAAACATTGAATTTAATGTTTATTTATATTTAATCAATGAACGAATCTATTACAATCTTGCCTAACTCAATATTATAATTTTACAATGTTGACTTTTAATGTAAAACTTATTTTTGAAATCTCAGTGACGAAATTATGTAACATTTTAATTGACGAATGTGCATTTTAATATTAAAATTTAAGTATTTATAATAAATAGATGTCACTATCAATGTTTTGTGTTGCATAATTTATTTAATTTAACAGTGTTTTCTTTATAAAGTTTACGTAGCTTTGTACAGTTTTTGATATATTTAGACATGTTATTTTGCGTGCATGTTGCAACGCTGTCTCATTTTTTTATAAATAACATTTTTACTTTTAGACTCGCTTGATCAATAGATCTGCTAGTTTATTTTTATTCTGTGGCACCAACACTACTGGCTACTGCAGTATATTCGATCTACTTGTGTCACAAAACTACTTCAATCAGTTGTACAATATTTCTTAATTTACTATGAATATTTTTTGTAACGAAAAAGAAAGTTATAGAGATATAGTACAAGAATTTATTGCAAAAATTTTAAGAGATATTAGTTTATTGTCAAAGCTATATACAGGTATATTTTACCTGCAACGTCTCTCTAAAAATTGTTACATAAGGTATTATAAGAGAATGTTCTCAATTGTTTTTGTGTTTTTATTTACTCTATAACGATATTAAAATATAAGTGATCTATGGATTAAGTGGCCATTTTAATTCATTCGTTACAAATTAATTAATAATTAAATTTACAGTAAAACACATTTTTTACAGCGTCGAAATGTATACACCGCACAGGATCATTTTGAAGACTAGTGTAAAGAGGCTCTTATAGCCACTCCCAAAGAATAAAATACATATGATAACACCCAATACGTTTATAATACCAGTACATAAAGTGCATTGTGTATGCCAACATACCACCCGCATATTAGGATTATGTTCTAGGTATAGAGTTGGAGGCATTTCTGATATAAATATTTTCGATTCCAAAATACCAAAATACCAGCTTTGTACGTAATTATAGAAAGGGTCACTTTATTTCTACAAAATGTAGCGTATTAGATAGAATTAGCATTAAAATTTTGGTGTTATAATTATATATTTATAACGAAATGCTAGTTGTACAAAACGCGCTGACCTCCTCCTTAAACTGAAATTGATTTAGTAGTAACGATCCTGAATTAAAAGAAAGCCGAAGAAGTGGCTTTTTTTAATTACGTTTACGTATCCTATACGATTTGTTAAATGTATGTTACAATTTATATGTTCGTTAGTTTTCGTTATCTTCAGTCAAAAAACATAACTAACTTCATTAATGTCTTATAATTGTTTTACCTAATGATGTTTATATTTTACATATATGTTCCATCTCCATGTTTCAGATATTCTTAAAATATTTGTTATTCACATTAAATATTCATAAATATTAAAATATTGCTTTTATACAGTAATTACAAAAATAAAAATAACATACACTATTACGACTGTACCGAAATGTACATTTCAATTTTCTTCTTACGATTTTATATTATAAAATATCGATATGTACATATGACGTAGTTTTCGTTTTCTTCAGACTTAAATTATAAGTCTGAAGAAAACGAAAACTACCACATATTTTAAACTCATTAGTAACCAATTTTGTAACAGTTAAATAGACCGAAAAGCTTTACCCTATTTTAAGTTGCAACTGCAATATTTATTAAGTTTCATTCGCTTATTCATAAAAAGTAAAACTATTTACCGATCCTATTTCAAATATTGGAGTGTTTCATCACATTCTTTCAACTTGCGAAAATAGGTCGAGAGAAAAGAACAAAACATATCAATCACTAAATAAAATAGGTTTATTAGACATACGAACATTATAAATACAAATGTCTGTCAGGGTAACAACCTTTTCATGACTAAACGGCTGAACGGACCCTAATGAAAATTGACGTGAGATTGATTGTAACTCAATGGCGGATAAAGCCTGTCCTTCTTGCAAGAAGTGTCTTATAAATATATTTTAGCTATTATAATTATATATTATTATAAATTTAGAATTATTTTGTCCTTTTCTAGCGAATATTTTCTTAAAACATTAATATTTAAAATAGGATTTTCGTAGCTTTTTGTTTCTATGAATAAGATGATTGTATGTAAGCACGTCACAGCATCTTTTATCACAAACGCATTGTTTACCTCGTCACTGTTTGCATCATAATCACTTCACTGTAGGTAAGTTTACTGTGTCGCATTTTTTCTTTATTTTTTCTAAATATTTGGCATATTTTTTTTATGTATGTTTTTGTCATATTTTAAAGCTTTATGCAGTGTGGACTTTAACTGAGAATATTAAAAAAAGTACCTTTAAACATGTTGTCTTGTATTTTACAGTTTTTTCTCCAAATTACGGCGAAAGTAAGAGGTATCGACATGCGTCGCTTCAATAGATTTAAGCTTCAATTAATATTAGTTGTAAGGTAAATTATACATTGGCGATTGTTTGGTAGACATGTATGACGGCAGTAGCAAAAGTTCATATGAAACTTAAGCTAGGAATTCCCTTAGATAATTTTAATCATTATACAAATATTATTATGACCATTGTTGTTAAAATGTGGACGAATATAAGTAACACTAACTCTTCTTTTAAAATATTTAAAAATACCGAGGATAATTTTGTAAGATATGATTAAAATTTTAATATTTAAGACTGCTTTTACGCTTGTCTATAAAGTATACCAGAACATTGCCATTACTGATTTACAAACTATTTAGATTTATATTTATGTCTTTAATATATTGATTTTCATTCATAACATCGTAGTACTCTGGAATGGCAACGCATGACTTTTGTCACGGATGACACGTGATGACGTTATTATATCCGTAGTGCTATTACTATACTATTAATGGTTACTGCTTAACATCAGGTGGGCCGTAACCGTATTTGCCATTCCAATTACCTTAAAAAAAGTTAATTACATGACTTACCAACTTAGGTACCTGAGTAAATCTTATAATGTAAAGGCAGTCTTATATTAATATAAACATAAAAGGGAGTTCCGTATAGACGAGTAATGCCATTAACCTTCCATACAACGTAATTATATGGTGTTATACTTTCATGGTTTGCCTTTATGTGTTATCCATAAATTACGTCACACGTTATTGAGGGGAACGATTACAGTGTGACATTGTATGACAAGGGCTGGAAGTAGTTTTAAACTACACGTGCGGTGGCACGTGTAGTTTAAACTTCAGTCCTTATAACTGTCCTTTCCAGAACTATTGCAGGGCACGTATAGAAAGTATGCTGCAACGGACATGTCACAACTATTTAACTATTAACAAAAACTTAGAAATATTTCCAACTTTATTGATATAAACATAAGGTTATATATTGTGAAATTGGAAAATTTCGGGCTATTAGTGTAAATTGATAAATATATGTCGTTATTCGAAGGAGGGAATCTCAGAAATACGACAAGGACGGACAGAGAACTCAAAAATTGAAAAATTCGTGTAACGTAATATAAGGATAGACCGTTATGGAGTTGTCTAAGATAGTGCGAATATTGAAAATTATATGCTTTTTGAAAGTACATTAATCGTTGCTGTTACCATAGGTGACTTGTGTGTAAGTTTTAAAAACTACACTCCAATGTTTTAATAGATTCTATTATTAGCTAGCTAGCTAAGTTATATCTGTCTGTAAAATTCTATCTCTTCACAACTCAATCAATCATAGTTTTCAAATCTTTTAGCAGATTATAACTACCCTTATTTACCGTATATTGATTATTGTTTTACGATTTACTATAAAATATGCAAAAAAGCGATAGAATTGGGTAGCCAATTAAAAGATTCCATCTTAGACCAAATTATTAAAAAATAAATACGAAATTTATATGAATTAAGCTTTCCAGTCCTGAGTAGAAAATAGAGGTGCTTATATATAAATTAGTATCAAATTCATTCTAATAATGGGACCTATTGCTTCTGGATATGGCCGAAAAGAAGGGTGTGCTTATTCAAGATTGTAACTTTACAGCCAAGTTTCTAGGAAATACCTCCAACAGGTTTATCTAAACTCATGGAATAAGGATTTTCATTTGAAACTGTTTCAAATTTACTTTGATCTTGACAGTTTCAGATACAAAACTGTACATTCGGATTGCACTATTTATAATTTGAACAGCTTCAGTACAGTAACTATAATTGTACAGTTATTGTTGTACATTGTCAAAATTATATGTAACGTACATTTCATTGGTCAATTATAAACAATCTAACATAATCGACGGCCAGGCATTGAAGTGATATAACATTATCTATCACCAAGTCCTTTTGTATTTACTGACTATTCACTACACAAGTATTCTACTCGCACCAAATGTACCTAGATACATAAGACTTTACCGTTTATATTAAAATCTATATAATATATCTCTATTATTTTAGATGTTATGCTATGTGGATGTTTTAATGTATTGAATTGGATCGACATTTTAAAAAATTGCATTTTTATATTAATAGATTTTTGTAAGTATAATATGTTATTTGCTAACAAAGTGTTATATATTTGTTAGACTATGGTCATGTAAAATTAAACAATGATATACCATCGATGTAGGTATGTACTTCTTATTTAGAACTAACATTTAGTAATGGTTTTGATTGCCCGATTAATTTGAAACGAAATTAAAACGTATTTTTACTTACATTATTGTAGGCCTACGACAGACACATCAACTAAATACATATAGGATTTCTTCAACCAGTTGCAAAGTAGATGTCCATAGAGAATGTCCACGAGACGTAATCTTTTAGTGTAGATCAGGATTTCATCCATATCTAGATTCTAAATGGATGATTATCCATTAGCGTAGCATAAATAATATAGTTATAGAAATGAATCTGAAATGCTCTGAAAAACTTTTACAAACGAGTCGTAGTGTCTTCAAGTAGGGCTCGTTTCCGAGTTTCATAATTACAACTGAAAAAGAACTATATTATGTAAAATTATGGCTTTTATTCCACCGATAATTTGTTTGACATATGACCTACTTGTAGAGCCCTACTTATTCCCAAATTTCTGAATGACACTATCGCTACAAGGAAGAGATTATGTCTCAATTTCAATCATAGAAGTTCTTCAAGATACATATACTCGATAGTTTTGACTACCTGTATATTTTCTGAATTGTTATAACACTGATATCTTATTATTTAGTTATAAGATTAGCCGCTTTTAATTCCGTGTATTTGACTACATACCTACTTTTAAATCTGAAAAACTGTGATGCCAAAATATAAAGTTTATGTGTAAAGTTAATACTTTTGTTAATTTATTGATAGAGTCTATGTTTGCTCTATTTATTGCTTTTAGTAAGTAATAAATAAATTATAAAAATGCATTCCTTTGTTTTATTTGAAACTTTTTTTTAAGTATCATAATCCTACAAATTTCGAATAACAAAGTAGGAAAAGTGAAATACAGCCATTTGGGCTGTACCTATTGCTCAAAGTAATATCAGGCAACGGTTCTATGTATTGTATATAAGTTTTATTCATATTTTATATAGTAATTAGACAGCAACTTGTATTTCTTATTGTATACATACCCACAAAATCCTTATTTTCTTGTATTTATATGCACTAGTGACGTCAACTGGACAACAGTGGGGGATACGATGAGCTTGAAGTTAGGTCAGTAGTCTATCGTGACTACTTTATCGGGATAAATTAAAATTACTATGCATGGTTAAGGGTAATTATAAATTACTAATAATAAAAAAGATGAAAAAAACTGTGCTACAAAACATACTAAAAACCTGGTTAGAAAGTTTTGACTATGACCAAACAGAAAATGTATTAAAAATTTAACTCGGGTAATTACATACATATATAGTTAAAGAATGACTATATAAACTATATAAATAACACACACACACACACATACACATACACACATACATATACACACACACTTACCATACTCCTAATCAAACACATGGACACTATAATTTAATTTAATTTTTTCTTTTCCTCATTTTTCTTGTATACTTATTACTTAGATTTTTTTTTCTCTCTACACTGTGTTAAATAAAAGTTCAGTACAATCTAGTATGTCAAAAAGAATAGCGTCTCTTTTATACATTGTTTTTTTGTATTCAAAAGTATTTAAGATTTTTTTTTCCATTCCTTTATGTACCTACACACCTGCAGATGTACCAAAAATGTTTACAGAATGTTGGAGGGAACTGGCTTTCGTGGCACAGGTTCACCTAAATCGAAAGCCAGGGCTAACTATATTTAATTGTACCGTGCGTTTATGAATAAAGTTTATTATTATTATTATTATCCAAAAATTCTCATCTCCCCTCTTAAGGAGAGGAGATGGCAACATACCCCCGGCAGAAGCACAGTCGGCCGGGGTTCAGGGCCCCAGGGAGAGAAACCGGCGTACAATGCGGGCAGAATCTAACAGCACCGCTTTCTGCATCTTTCCCGGGAGTGAGCCGCCCCGGAATCCCAACCGTCTGAGATGTTGTTCCAGACTGGTTGGGATAAGACCGTTCACCGACATAACGATTGGTTATGATTATTATTATAATTTTTTTTTCTATATTATTTTTTCTCGACTTTCGCCGGTAATCTTGTTATGTACGGGCCTAAGCCAAGTACATAACAATGTTCTATTTCAGGTGGATATACCATAATACAAATGTAGGCCTAATCTGTCTGTAGAAACTTTCTAACAATGCGACATGTGTTTAGAACTACAGCCTTCTGTAGTTGGCAGTATATATTATTATTAATAATCTCCAGAAATCGCTATTATCTATTAACTCTGATATTGCTAAGGGACATGCCCTATTGAGCACACGGTAACATTCAGGTTTGCTGAACCTAAAAATACTCGTCAAAATAGGTCGAAACATCCGAGAAAACAAAAATTTTCGGAAACCGTGCAGCCTAGTACAAAAGTAATCGAATATTTGGCCCCAGAAATTATTTTCCCACTCACACACACACCACATTAATCGACCAATAAGATAACAACCATATAAAATAAAACTACGTACTTTATTTATATTAGTTTATTCAATTTTATATTTTCTGGCATCCTTTAGTAGAAAATATGGCCTCTGCTCTTATATTCTTTTATTTTCATAGAGAAAGAGTTAATTCGCCAAAGCAAAATTTTTATCACAAAGAAACAACATCCCAATATTTTTTTTAATCTATTCTTAGGCCAGAATCCATCCTAGGAAAAATCTAATATTAATCTATGTTCCATAATAAACTCTTGGATTGTATCCTTAATCACTTCCTTAATGAATAAGGAGACAAAACAAATGCAGAAATACAGCACAAAAATAGTAACAGTTAACCAGTATTTTGAAATGTAGAGATACGCGACATTTTTTACATAAAATCCAACAATTGGCTTTGGTTTAATTTAACAATTATAAACTATTCACACCCTATCATTTTATGTCTCTCCTTCATTAATAGTAAAAAAAAATTCACTATCTAACATCAGTGTTTTATTTTTTTGGTTGTAATCTTTTTCTTGTTATTTATTTTAAACAAAAGTTAACATATTTATGTATCGTACATCACATTTGACACAAGATTTTCGGGGTTCTGTGCTTTTTAAAATGCAGAAAATTAAAATGACAGGATATCGAATAATTTGTATTAAATAATATCTTCTATTTTAGAGTCACGTCAATAAAAAGCACCGTTTATTATTTCTTCTTAACATAATCACAGCTTTATCACTAATAAACATCAATACGTCAGAACGAGACAGAAACTAACCTAAATACTTTTTTGCGCGACTCTTAACCTCTTTTGGGTATTTTAAAGCATATTACATAGCATACAAAGTAGAATATAGTTTTGGTAAACACAGCACCAACGTTAGTTCACTAAAATGGAATGTCTTCCCTACTACTAAGGCACTTTATGTGTACATCAAGTTACTTGTTATCACAACGTGCAAGTGCACCGTCATACATTACAAATTGCAACTTGCCACAAATAACAAAACACAACATCAAGCAGAATAACTCATAAGCTCAGAAAAATTCCAAGGTACATGAAGTACCTACTAGTTCGACATGTTACTGTATGAACACCGACATTGTATTGTGTAGAAATTGAGATGCAAACACGAGCAAAAAAGATAACTTATATTTTTTTATTTAAAAATCCGTGGCAATAGACAAATCAAAAACTCTTTATCTCATATCCCTGTTTTAGCCTTAACTGTTATCTGGCAATGTTGCAATTCAAATATCAACGTTAATATCTACAAGAACCCACACCAGCGATTTGTAAATATGTTTCGAACGAAGTAAAGGCGTACGTACATAAACGTATACAGTGTGAGTACGCAACGTGTTCCCGCCATTGTAATGCATATACGCATTTGCACAAAATGGCGTTTGTTCGCTAATCTTCACATTGAAAACATGCTTACAAAGATATACCAGTGATAGGCGCCAGTGTTTATAAACATCGACATAATAAAATACTTTGGGACCTTACTCAAAGAGTGAAGTAAAAATCTACAAAAACGTAAACAGGCCACCACGCTCGTAATCGTCTAGTTACTCAAGTTCGTATTATCTTCGCTAGAAGCTGCAAATATTATATACGAACTCTAGTAAAAATTGCTATATATATAATAAATTATTATAAAACAAGTACATATGAATGTACTTGTATAATTACATAGATGTACATGAGTACATCTTTGTAAATTAACGTAGAACACTTCCGCCGAGTAAGTATTAGATCCGTCGTCCACGTAAACCATAATGTCGATGAATATAAGGCTCTAAATCTACTTATCTAAAGTGTAAATATAATTATCATAATCTGAATACAATTACGTAAAAAATAAACCTGTAAAAAGCATTGTATGTAAAACATAATACAAATTCGTACATACCAATTAAATTGAATTATATATGTAATTAATAATATAATTATAATACAAATCTCAATATAGTCAAGTAAAAATAAAATTGTTAACAAAGTAAATTCGGCATACAATAAAATTAATTTAACAAGAAAATACTTGATTCAAAATACTAGCAATAGAATTGATAATTAAAAATAATATCATAACGTTATTTTGTTCGTTTAATTATAATTATGTTGGAAAATAATCTGAGCATAAACTGTATATCAACAGAGAAAATACCAGAGTGGTATAAATCTACATACATGGGTAACCATGTTACAAGCATCTTGGGGCCAATTTTATAATCATTTCTTACATTATTTTGTCCGTAAATTAAACGCGAAAAACAACCTCAGCAACTAACAAGTCTGAAGTTCATCCAAACAAAAAACCTAAATGAGGCACATTATCGTATGAAACAGAAATTTTCTATCTATATGAATTGCCTATATATAATTACATCACAATATACAAATGTTAGTAATAGGATAAAACATACATTAATATGTGTTATATGCCTTGAAGGGCTTCAGCATATCGTCATAATTCATAAATAAACGTCAACCGTCCAAACATTGATCTTTTCTTATTCTTTCCATTTTTTGAATTTGAAAGAATACAATAAAACATGAGTTTTATTAACTATGAAGTTACAATGAGTTTGTATGAGGTTTTTACGCATAAGAATGTAAAAGTACATTAAGAATTGCTTTTGTTTCATAAGATTAGTCATATTCGAGTAAATGATTAACATAAATTAATATAAAAATCTTCATAAATACTAAATACAAAGTTAAAATATACATTGATACAATACCTGTAATGTTTTAAATATCATAAAATTGATTTATTTGCTATTAATTCTATAAAATTAAGAATAGGTACGTTTTATAACTAATTACTGTTGTCCTAACCCCGCCCGTTGTGCCGTATAGCGGCGTAAAAAAATACTTATACAATAATAAATAAGGCACTAAAATATGGCATTGATTCAAATACTTGTTAAAAAAAATGTGGCTCAGCTGTGAACCAAACTGGTATCTGAAGTGGTGCCGCTTTCTTTGTCAAACTTTACCACACTATCGCAATCCAAGTAATCCATGTCGGTCAACTGTCTCTTGATCATCAAATGGGGGGTTTTCCTAACCCTCTTTTCTTTCAAAAACCTTGGTATCATTTGCTTCCTTTCCATCAGATACTCTATGACAACTCTCTCGAAGAACAAAGCTATCAAGAATTGGAATGCGGCAATTGCTAAGATAACGTACGAAAGCAGAACATCTTTCGGCATCTTCAACTGTAGGAAACTGGCCAACCACTGTGCTGGCGCAACCGCAATATAAATAGATATACCGGTCATTATGAGAATACTGATCATTAGCCACTTATTCGTAATTACAGACTTTCTGTACGGCGAACCATGGCTGAAAACTATAGCTAGAATTATATACTGGAACATAGATACGGCATATATAGCATAGTTCTCCCAGCACTCATTAGCTTCCTCTCCCTCGTACATATGTCTCTCATACCAGGGGAACAGAGTCAGCGCGAAGTAGCTCAAGTACTGCGCCACTCCGATCAGAACCAGCTGACCGATCAAAGACACCAGCGGGGCTATACCTAGTAGCGACGTCAGAGGTGGGACATTGCATAAATTGCCCGTGAACGCTTCGGTCATGCCGAAGAAGAAGGCAAAGTTGACGATGAGCGCGACATCTATGTACAAGAATTGGAAGTCAGTGAGGTTCGAATCGAAGTAGTAGAGGAAGGCGACGGAGAAGAACTCCGTGAGGGAGTAGGCGATCATGAACTTAAAGACGCCGAAGGAGGTGGCTAGTGCGGCTCGTCCCTCGCGGAGTACGCGGACTACGCACACGATGTCGGGGTCTGCGGCGGTGAAGGGCGCGGCGACGCTGCTCTCCAACTCCGAGAGTGAGATGCCGGTGTGCGCCGCCCGCAGCGCGCCGCAGTCGTTGGCGCCGTCGCCGCACATACCTGACGATAACACCCCCAATATGTATATTGAAAACGTTGAGAAAACATATTAATACAAAGACCTTGACGATCTAAAGCGGTTAAAATGTCATAGATGAATAAATTATTTTTAATAAAATCTAAGCAAATTATTACTACTTACTATAGTGTATAGATTATATATTTAGGATAGGTAGATATTAATATTAAGAAATTTGAGCTATATCTTGCTAACAAACTGTTCTGCAATTTGGTAAGTCATTGAACAAAAATAAACCTAGGTACGTTTCTTTTTATTCATTTATTTCATTCATTCATTCAATCAATCATTCATTCTTTATTAAAAAATAAACAAATAAAAATATAGAGATGCATACGAAAAACTTACCGACATAGTAACCGAGCGCCTGGTACTCGATCACGAGCTGCTGCTTCTGGTCGGAGGACATCCGCGCAAACACCGCGCCTCGCTCAGCCACACGGCCAGCCATATGCGGGTAGTGCTCGCGCAACACCTGCCATCACATACACACGGTTAGTCGTGAGTTTATATATACCAGCGTATAATTTAACCACAGCCAACCAAAGTATATGGGAACAGAGCAAAAATGTCAATCTTGACATTAAGGTGTATCTACAGCATTTTGAAATTTTATCGTTGGAAATGATCATCATATAAATGAGGCGCGATAACATTAAGGGTTATACTCACTCGCCATGCGTCTCCCGTCATAACAATTTTGTACCGAGGCTCACTGGACGATGATTCGACGTCGAACGACCCTGAACCGGAGGCCGAGCCCGAGCCGGAGCCCGAGCCGCGCCACGAGCCGTGGCCGCTGTCTACGCTGCGCCACTCGCGCTGCAGAGGCGTTCTACGGCCCACTGGCGACTATGATGTAAATTTTTATTATAGAAACGTGTATATATATTGATACACATAATTACTACAAATATAAAAAAACACCACTTTAGTTTCTTACTAGTTCTTCTCGAATTAGCTATCCCAACTAAACGGTAGGGTTAAAAAAAGATTTTGACTTCCATAAAACATTTTATGACATACATACATGGTTCAAAAAATACATTCAGCCAAATTGATCCAATTTTTTTCTAAAATCCGAATATATAAAAGTAATCTTACACTTAGTGAATTTATAAAAGCAAAATTTGAACAAGAAAAAAATGTTTACCATAAGATGAAAATATATTTAAACAAATCAATTGTATATCAGTACAAAATATTTACAAAAAGTAAGAAGGTTAAATGGTTTTTTTTTTCAATATCAAAATACATACCCCTTGCAGAAAGCTCTGGCAGTACAGTAGCGGCGGTGAAGTTCCCTCGACGGTTACTTGGACGACTCTCTCTCCAGCACTCAGTATGCCACACTCTTTGGCCACGCTCACCGCCGTATGGATATTATCGCCTGAATAAACACATCTTTATATATATGAAGTTAGAAAAAGATTCTTCTTGTTAATAGACATATTATATTTACTTTTAAAATATGACGTCACGATATTTAGGACTTCTACACTTTGTCGACTTTCTCTCAACATATAACATAACTTACGGATTCAATGTACGCATTATCTATAATAATAATAATAATCATCATCATTTATTCAGCATAAAAAAGAGTACAGAGTAAAAAAGAAAACTTAAAAACTAATAATTCGCTATGCTGAAAAGGCTTCCAGACTCAGCTGGTGCGGAAAAATATGAGATTACTGAAAATCAGCGCTGTAATGACACGCTGTCATTACAGCGCTGATTTTCAGTAATCTCATATTTTTCCGCAAGATAAACAATTATAAAAAGATTATGTTTATAAGAATATACATATAGTAAAAATGTGTCACTTGCCTGTGATCATGACAACTTGTATGTCGGCCTCTTTCAGTTCCCTAATGATGTCAGTGGTTGCCCCTTTCAGTCGATTCTCCATTATCACCAGTCCCAGAAACTCAAGGTCGCGTTCCACCTACAACGACCAAAATGTCACAATTGTGTATTTTTCATAACAAAACGTTCTAACGAATATAATGATATTTCAGTGAATCTTCACTGAAATATCATTATATTCGTTTAAAGTTAAGTTAAGTTAGTAGTTTTTGTGATATAATCTATCTAATTATATCACAAAAACAACTTTATATGCAGTTTTAGCACGTTTATTATATTATATGTGTTTTAATAAAATTAAAATATTTATTATATGTATAATATATGTACACCCGTGCGAAGCCGGGGCGGATAGCTATTATCTTATATACTGTTATCAGTACCGGTTTTTCGAGCGTAGCGGATCACAAGATGAAAAATGACTCGGACAAGAAAAATCGTTTTGTCTAATGTTAACTTAGTAAACAGTTTTCAATTATACATCTTTATATTTGAACATTTGAAAATAGTCTTTAAGAGTCTGTTACTTTACTGTTACTTGTTAGTTCTTTGCCGTGGACTTTACCTCTTCTCTGTTCATCCGTTGAAGTTGTTTGAATGTGGTCTCCATGATGCGTGTGGACATCGCTATGACTCTGTAACCCTTCTCCGCATAGGAACTAAGCACCTCAGTCAGATTATCCGGAACTGTAATTGACAGAATGAATATACATCACATATGCCCTATATTTTATCAGTTGTGGATAATTGGATAATGTAATATCGCCTTTACATTTTGTACCTAAATCTTACAAGTTTAATAGGGGCCTAATAGAAACAAGACGAAACCGTACAATTCATGAAACTAAACGACTTTTCGTATACTACACATAGATTAAAATATAATGCCATTTATGAAACTTTTATAAATTTAGCCCAAAGGACCAATTTCAAAGATAAATGGTTAAATGTAAAGGAGTTAATTATTGATAAAGAAAACTGAATGAAAACGACGTCATACCTACATGCCTCATAGTTTTGTAGAACTTTACTGTATGAATGCATACTGTACCTACTTGAGGTTAATAAATTATATATGGCTTGTTCTTATGGAGTTATTATAGGAGTGGTATATCGGCGCTACCGCGGCAGTCTACTGTAGTCAGTGCTATGACCAAAGACATAATTATATTTTATTACTATTTCGTATGTATGTTAGTCTATAAGATAAATATATAATATATGATAATTATAGAACATAAATAGGGCTATAATCACCTGTCTCCGGTTTGCATAGCGTGGTGAGCATCTCAGGCGCTCCCTTGCAGTAAACCCTGAGTACGTCCTCACCCAGCATCCTCACAACGACGGAGGCACGCTGAAGAGACGACACGAACTGGTGTTGTTGCACTATACCCAATTCTAGCGGCATCTGGTGTTGACAGATTCATTTATTGGCATCTCAGATACGCATATAATAAAAATCTATATGTATGGAGTGATATTTCTTGTTGTCATGCTATAGTGTATCTTAAACTCGAACGATAGAAATACATTAAACAGTTTCACGAGATCAGTAGCATAAATTATATATTTTATATTTAATTGTTGCATTGCAGTGGAGCATTAGTGCGAACCATCTAAAAACCGTTAGTAATTTGTGTAAGTTATATTTCTTGTTTATGTTCTGTCACTTTCTTGACTGATTAAACGGAGGTAAGCGTCTGCTTACCTGTCTAGATACCTTATCTGTCTAGATATCTAAATAAAAATGTGTTTAGATATTGATGATACCAACACTTTACAGGTAAATTATATACCATCACTAATAAAAAGATTCAAATTATTTACGTGTATATCATCGACGTTGATGTTAGCTGACTTCTTGGGTCGCACTATGGTAGGCGTGAGTATGTCATAGTTGGATGACTCCGGTACATCAGGTTCCTCCAACTCCCAACCAGTTGACTCGAACATCTACCACATTTATTATACAGAAGAACACATTATTTATTATAATGTTGTTTTACTAACTTTACCTACGTTACCGCAATATATTTCGGGAAGCGCGCACCTATTGGTTATTGGTCGGTCAGGCGAACTAATTATATAATACTAACACATCTCCAATTTTTGTCATTACTTTTCAAAGATTTTAATAATTTTAAATGTATATTTTAAACAGGAAACGGCAGGCCATGTTTGGAATAAGATAATATTTTTAAGACCATTATGTATACATGTTCAAGCAAATAAATAAACTAATTTTTATTGATTTAATTAATATATCTGATATATCTGAATGAAACGCTAGATGGCGCTATTAGTAAAAAATAGTTCTTTTACGTCTTTTAAATTTTTACAAATAACCTATCAATTTAATTCGAAAAGGTATAATCTTTATTTAAATCAACTTGATACTATGCATTTTTGGATAGTCAATATCACCATATTCTATCACCACATTCAGAATATAAGTTAAGCCAAAAAAGAGCACAAGAATACTGACTACTGCTCTTTTGAACAAAAGTGAAAAATTTGTGTAAATACAAAGTACCAAATAGCACAAATAATAGAAATCAAGACTGTCTAAATTAAAATAAAAACATAATGGTGAACATCGTTGCACATACCTTCAGATCAAGAGGATCTCCCGCGATTTCCCCGTCGAGCAGCGTTAGGCTGTGGCAGCAGGCCATGCCCATCTTGAGGTCGTGTAAGTCGTTGAGGAGACGAGGGTCCCGCTGCGGTCGACCGAGTCTGGTGGGTGATGTGGCACCACTCACTGCTACCACTCCCCACATGTCTAGACCGTCTTCCGTTAAGGTACCCGTCTGTTGGAACGTATTACGTACATTCTGTTATATAATCGCACATACTTTGTTTTTTTAACAAGTTACAATTTGCGGAGGGAGGAGAGGATGGGATTGTAATGGGGTACAGAGAACCGATTGCTAGCAATATCACATTAGGTTGATTTCTAGTGAATAGTGAATTTTTGGAGAATGTATGATTTTGGGCTGGCTGATTAGAATTTATTTTTAGAATAGTATTATTGATTATAATTGATTATTGATAACTATTAAGTAAAATGTGATGTGTATTTCTACCATCTATTATTCGATATTTTTGACGGTCTCGGTGATCTAGCGGTTTAGCACACAGCTTTACTTCCGATGATCGCGGGTTCGATTCCTCGCATCGTGTTAACATTCGTATTCATGAGTATGATTGTTTATATCAATCTGGGTGTTTTCCATGTATATTACATTATATGTTTACAAACAAATATACATCTACGTATTTATATCAGTCATCCAGTACCCATAATACAAGCTCCGTGGGTCTAGATGGCACGGTGTTAATTGTCCAGGGTTATTTAAAAAAAAATCGTCATCGTTATTCTCGACGCCCACCTACAATGAACAAGGGGTACCTTGTCGAAGCAGATGCAGTCGAGCGAGCCGCTAACGTTGACCGCCCGCGTGTTGAGGCAGGCGATGCGCGCGCGCCGCAGCCGGGACACCGCGTACAGCCGCCCCACGGTCATGGCGGCCGGCAGCGCGGGCGGGATCACGATCGTGATGATGTCCAGCGCCTTGATGGCGATGTCTCCGGGGCTCAGCGAGCGGTACGCCTGCGTACAGCGTACGCACATATGATCCGAATGTCTTATATTCCTGCTCGTGTATTGTATTTTTTGGCTGTCGTTCGTGTGTTGAAGATACGATAAATAAATGTTTATCTATCTATCGAAAGTGAGCATGTAACAAACGTCTAATGTAATTCAGGGGTTGTATGTTGCGTTCACCACATTATAATAATTGACAATGCCTCTGAATACCTTATATAGGATAGGTCGTGGCTGTATTGTATTGTTTTTTAAAGAATAATATAACTTAATTCTAGATATAGTTAGTCATATATAATACGATTGTTTTCTTTACCTTTAAAGCAATGGTGTATCCTAGTCCAAGTGCTGCCAGGAAAGCGAGTATAATAATGAACTTGTAGGAATCCCGATCGAACTTGAAGTCGGCCGGCACTGGATACAGTATACTACGGACTAGCTGACCCTTGCTTGTGTTATACCCCGTACGCAACACTAGAGCTCTGAGGACAATGTATATCTCTTATTACTTCATACATTCATAATTTTCTTTATACATGTGTCATACACTATAATTATACACATTCTTTCTCTCTCTCACACACACATCAGTCATGTATACATATAAACAGACGCAAAGCATATACTCATTCAGATACAAATTATCGTATTCTCATTATTCATGTAATGTGGTCTATATTATACGTAATTTATATTGTTTTGTTTTGTACTTCCTAAATTTACCACAGCTTTTTATTTTTTGTCACGATATTTCTCTTATTTTCTTTTGCTAAATCCATGAAACCTGTTTTTGGTTTTCTCTAGAAATGTACTGTTGTTTGAATGCCAATACATTAAAAAAAATTGAAAATATAAATACTCACTTGACCGGCTCGTTATTATAGTACCGGGTCTGTATGACCCTCGTGCCGCAGAATAGTATGCTGGACGCATGTTCTTTCATATCAAACAGCTTGTCTACACGCAGTAGCGCCGTCTTAGTCACAGGCACTGATTCACCTATGTACAAAAATTATAATAATACCTCAGGACAATTCACAGCGTCATCAAGTCCCAAACTAAGCAGAGCTTGTGTTATGGATATACTAGATATACTAGATAAAGGATAGATACATTTTGTAAATACAATATTTACATTACATTTTGTAATTGCAAAATAATATTCATAGAAAGCATCCAGACCAATATAAACAACCATACTTATGGATACAAATATTTGTACCATGCTAGGGCTAACAATCCAGTTATCAGGTCGATGACGGATTTAATACCTTAATAGTCAAGTCACAGAGGTAACAGAGGACGTGGTGTAGAGGAATATAATTTGGAATAACATTACACTAGTCCTGGGAAAGGTGTTTGTGTAATTTAGATTTAAATACGAATTATGGAAGCGCTGGATTTAATGTCAATAATATAACAAAGGGACTAATAAGCAGCAGGTACCGGTCAGCATGCTCTCGTTAAGTACAGCGGAACCGGTGAGCAGCACGGCGTCGAAGTGCAACTTGCAGCCGCGAGAGGGCAGCACTACTACGTCACCGGGGGCCACCGCGCGGCTGTCCACGCTGCGCCCGTCCCACAGCTGGACCGTATCGTGGGCTTCCACAGTAGCGCGAAGGCTCTCCTGGTTCTGCAGAACATTCAATCCATTAAAGCACTTATTTCCTCCACAAAAACATTGACACAATATACAGTGGAACAAAGCCATTTAGGCATGTAAAATTTAATGCTAAAGTACAAATTTGTGGAGAACTTGTGCCTGTACTAGGTATCTGAAGAATCTGTATCACCAGTAAACTAAAGTAAACTAATGAAACCACTGCACCAATTTGAGAAATTATTATTAGGCATATTAAACTAGAATGACGTGAAATTTATGCTCTAAATTTATTACAGTTTATTTATTTCTCGGCCAAGCCTGACAGTATTAGGAGTTTATTTATTTTTCGGCTAAGACTGACAGCACTATGAAATAAGGTCGCATTTACTGTATAATAAAAAGTTTACCTTTTTAGTTTGTATAACAGAAGTGGCAACACCAAACGTGGACATCAACACTACAGCTATGCAATAGTAGTAGTACGGCTCTGCCAGCCAGACAGCGATCGTAAACAGTTGGAACACGTAGAACGGGTTGAATACTTCAAGCAGCACTAGGGTTAGAATGGACTGCACCGGCACTTTAATCTCGTTCAGACCATAGATGTTCAACCTGTTATGAAATAAATATTTTATGTTTCAATCAATCAATCATTTAATTTCAAATTAAAAAAAATAGTACTGACATGCGAGCGCGTCGTTCAGCAGAGGGGGCGGTGGCTGCCCGAGCATGTAACTGCGCGCACGTGGCGCCGGCCTCCGCCCCCGCCAGCCGCGCCCACACCCCGCGAGACGCATCCCACACCAGCGCGTGCTTCTTGTGCCGGAAGTACCGATACCGCTGCACATCTGCAACCACACTCTTCCTTAAGATATGGAGGAGAGATCGGGTGAGATTAGTAATGGAAACTAGTGACCCCACTACTTAGAACTTTAATAACCACAGTATTGATTACAAAAAAAGATTGCTCAGTTTCGTATGAAAAGGTGCTTGCACATGACGACAAATGCTCCAAGTGAATTTATGAGGAACACTCGCTACCAACTTTGTGCTAAAAAAATTATATGACAGTTACATATAAAAAAAAATTGTATTATACAGATGCAACGCTAGTCACAACTGAGTAGCCTAGAGGCTTCGTAGATGGGATTCGGAATAAAATATTTATTCACAAAACATGCACTTTACAAGTGTAATTTTAACCAATGGCTTCCAATTAGGCAACCAATCGAATCGCTAATACCAGTTGTATATATATATATATAATAAAATATACCTCTTTTATTTTGTGAACGAAACAATTGGGTTAACATAAACATTAAAAGTTACAGGATGCTTGTTACAATACATACAGTGTTTCAAATTATATAATGAAAACATACCGAGTACAGACCCATCGTCGAGATGTAACGGTGTGTGTATCGCGTCGGCACTTTCGATTGGTTCTTTCTCTCTACCAAACTCATCTTGGAATGCCTTGTTGAATAGGCCACTAAAAAAATTTAAAAACAAATATCATCATGAATGCAATCTATTAGATTCATTTTCAAATTACATTTGTGTATAGAAAGAAGAATAGATTAGTTTGCACCAAAATAATTCTGTCTAATGAACTTTAACGAATATAGGTGATTAAAATGACAATAATGTTCACTTACTTCCTTCAGTTATAATGTTTAATAATTAGTACAAATCCTTGAAATATTCTATTTCAAGAATTATCTGACTGAATATTCTGTAATAATCTGACGCATTTGTTCTTAACAAACACTTCTACTTAGAATAATATTAAATAGCGCAGTATTAAACATAAATTAAAGCTTTTGTCTTCCAAGAGAATAATAACAATGGGTACAATGCTAATTAACATTGGAGATTTACAGGTGAACAACAAATCACTACATAAAAGGACAGTATGACGCTCAAGTATGACGGGTGATAGTGTGTGGAAGAAGATAGTATAATGCTCCAATTCCAAATAATAAGATAAAGACAAGGTAATGAACCAGTTACTACACACTAACACCAGCTCTCGTCTTCACCCAGATATATTTACTGTAGGGATCTCAAATGTTCTTTTTTTAACTATACTAAATATCATGTTAATTATGTAGTGTTATATAGGTGGCGGAAATTTTATGTTGAATAAGTATTTGTTTATTCACAAACAAAAATTCAAATCCATCCACTTTATAATATTACTTTAGACCAGCAGTTAGTCCCTACTTGAGTTTTATAGAGCGTATAGATAAGCTAACATCATATTACTGTTTAAATGGTGAAAGAATATTTGATGCAGGTTAAATTATATGTAAAGAAATCACAAAATTACCTTGTGTCTGCTATATTTTTTTCTAATATTTTGTGTATATAAAAGCTCTTGCATTTCTTCTGATATGTTTCCTAGAACCAAAGATAAACATAATTACAAATATCTGTATAAATAATAATAATTACATAACAATCTGGCAAAGAAGGACATACTGCTATATCTCGGACTAATAAGGGAGTGATGGAGAATACTCAATATATATTTTTGTGCCAAAATACATTTAAATAATGCAATCCACGCATCCACTTCGTCTATCAAAATTTATCTTCAGTTAAAAAACTTGGATTAAATCGAAATCTCTCGTCTGTGTAGAACTTAAGGACGGGAGGCCACGTGACAAGCACGTGACGACACCACTCGTCCGCATTAGTAGGTATGGATGTCTAATCACTGATACCGGTATTACCCCAATTCCGTTTAGAGCGCGCTATTTATGTTATAATATGATAAGCCATGTGTGATATTCTTTATTATGGTAGTTTGTATTCCATTGTATTAAATTAACAAGCTTCTATTATAAGTTAGACAACTGAAAGGAATAATTGAAGTAACTTTTTTTTTTTATAATAGTAATATAGTGTCACGGCTGTTATACCAGATTGGTATAGTCAGAGGCATAGTCCTTTGTCGATTTTGTGTCGATGTGGTGAATGCAACAATTGACATGCCTATGTCTCCCATAGTAAATTTTATTACAAAGTCGCAAGGGGCGGGCCTACCGTCATCTCTAGTTTTGGTTTGTTACCAGTGTTATCAACTCCAGAAAGTCAATAAGAAATTTAAATTTATACAATTTTTTGAAAATAGTATATAAATACTTACAATAACTAGAACTTGATCAGCAATCTGGAAGCTGCATCTGACTGATGTGATGTATAGGAACCAAGTGGCACACCAGTGGAACAACAGGAACGGAATACCACATAATACAGTTGATAGAATATAAACTAGAATAGTCCGCCATCGACACCTGCGATAACCGTACACCGTCTGTAATAAAAGAAAGATAGATAGATAATTAATTTATTGCCAAAATAACACTACAAATTACAAACAATACATAACATAAATAAAAACATACAACCTCAATGAGGTGCACCTATACAGCGCTTGTTTTCAGGCAGCCCGATTAGGTACTATTTACTATTATTAAAAAAAAATTACTAACATGTGACAAAAAAAGTCATTAAATGATTATTTATAAATTCTCCCATATTAACCAGTCTAATTATAATATTGTTACAGATTGCAGATATGTTGAGTAAACAAACATACAACAAGAGATAATTTCATAGATGTTGATTAATTGTATTTCTTTATTGTTTATTATTTTCACGTTTTTTTAATTAATTAATTAAATACCACATTCAATAACATTTTTATGTAACGGGAAAGCTCAGAAAGCAGTTGAGATTAGTGCAAAGAGTTCCCTATGGAGATGACATTATAAAGTCTACTTAACTATTATAAAACAAGCACATCATTCTAAGAACACCACACACCATACTAGTGCTCTTATCAATTACTATTCGAAAGCCCTTACCTAATATTTTATTAATATAATACACAGTACTTAATAAATTTAAATGCCTATATATGATCAAGTTGCCCACAATGATCCATTTGAGTTTAGAGATAACATTATTATTATTTTATTACAATAATTAATTTATCTATGTTCTTATCTACACTTACAAATGTTCATCACCATTATTGCATCAAAAAGGAGGAGGTTCTCAACTCAACTATATTTATGAGTATATAATAAATAAAAATAACAATAATAAGGAAATAAATAACAATGAAACAACTCACACACTGTCACCTAGTTGCAAACAAAGTGTGCTATAATTACAAGAAATCAAGTACAAATACTTAAATATATATATATATTTATAAATAACATAAATAGAAAAAATATACAGTCCAATATAAATAATTACAGTCTTGAATTAAAATGTTTATATTGTGTGAACCTGCAACCATTGGAATTAAAACTATGTACTCAAGCAGTCAATCACCCAACTATAATAATAGCTCTGGACAATTCACATAGCACCATCTATTCCCAAGATAGGCAGTGGTTGTGTTATGGATACTAGACATAAATACTTAAATACAGTTTTTTTAAATACATACATAACAAACATATACTCTCAGATCGATACAAACAATAGAACATGTGGCCATTTGAAGTAAAGCAGTATTCTAAACAACTAGACCACCAGCATTGTTAAAGTTGTGAGTATGTTTTCTGTATTCTATCTTTTTTAATTGTTGTATTTGATAACTTTTCCATTTACTGTGGAAGTTTTGTTTAAAAATGCAAGATTTGCTTCTAGATTTTGTACCGTTTACACAATTCGAACAAATCAAGATTAATTTATTTAAGATTAATTAAGTAATATCAAATATTATAAACTATGTAATTAATTTAGTCTATATTATGTGAAGTAAATTATGAAGACACCAAAGAAATCACAGTGTGGTCAACTCATTATAATACTAAAAGAGAAAGACCACACATAAGATGATCAGATGACATAAAAAAAATAAAGGCTCAAAATGGACGATACCTGCTAGAGAAAGAGGGAGATGGAAAATTCTTTTTCAAAACAATTTCAATATGCAAAAAAAGTTAATATGTATCTTTGTTTACTAAATAAAGGCTTGAAATTGAAATAGAAGAATCTTATGAATTAAACTTTTGTATTATTACATTTTTATTAAATTTATTATCATTGTTATTATATTATGCATAATTAAATAATGATAACAAATTTATTAATTATTTTCAGTAGGCAAGTACAGACCCATAATACAATATGGGTAATATTGATGATATATATGCATATTAGATTTTTATTTCACAAGAAAAATTTATTTTATTTGATTATGTTTGTAATTTGTAAGAATGCCAGCAAATTCAATGCTGATTACACAACACAAAATTTAATACATTCTCAAAATTAATAGTATGAGGACAAAGAGGTAGCTGTAATATACTTTTTAGTACATGAATATGCCTAAACAAAAAGCTGTTAAGTTACCGTCTTTAAATACTATAAGAAATTAAGTTTATATTATTTCACAACCATGTTTGCTGTAAATATAAATCGGATATACAGAAAATATAATTACCTGTTCAAACTCTGGGTCTGTATCAATGTCTTGTCTTGTAAAACCAAGGAATATCTCTCTGGCATCGTTCTGATCAGTTTGAATGAGAGGTTGAATATCCTCTTCAAATTCCATGGTTTATTTTTATAGTTATAAACACTATGTTTTTCTTTATTTGTTAGTATCTACATAGCTCGTATAAAGGAAGACCTGACTTAAAGACTACGCGAGTATAAAAGTTTTACATAAATTCTTGCATGGAAAATAATCACATTATTCATAAATGGAAAGAATGGGCGTAAACTTCATTTATTAAAACAATAAATATAAGGCGAGGGCCACCACTGTGTAGCAGGTACGTTTTAAGTACATTTTTAAAATAAACAATAACTTATACACTAATTTACTATTAAATCGAATATGAGTATTGTTTTCAAAAATAATTAAAATAAAAGTAAACACAGCTGTTCTATGAAATAATTCTATTGTTCTGTAATTATTTCAGTATCACAGGCCACCTACCAATTTGACTTTGATTGCTTCTGTCATATGTCAAGACTTTGCTGAGTCTGTGATATTGTTTAAATTAAGCTGTATGGGCATTATTCTCCTTGCTTTTCCGAAAGGATAGAACCAAAAAAAATCTATCCAAGTCAGTTCGTTGGTATCGAAGTAAAAAAAATCAGAATCGGACTAGGGTGGTATTTATTAAAGGAGGGGGACGAGGGGATGATGGGAAAAATACTTAAACAATTCTAGGTAGAGGTGACTAGGGGGAATTTACGATATTTCTAACTTAGACCGAAAGTTAGAATAAAAAATGATTGAATTCTGACCTAGTTTTTACGCGGTTAGACTGGCGAATATTGTGCGCACCCTTGAACAATAAAAGTCTGGCGTGAAAACTGAAGAAAGTATTCAAGAACGACGGTTAGAGACAAAATTTGTAAATATATTGAATTTTTTTAGACTTAACTTACCTAGTCTCTTTCTAATTCCAGAAAAACTGGGGAGGGGGGTGAGGGGGGGGGGGCAGATAAACGATGTGCAGGTTGGTGGTGGGAGAAATATAAAATAAATGTGTCTAAAGGAAACGACCTTGTGAGTACTGAACTATGAAAATGTGTAATTTTCTATGTATTGTTTACTAATTTTATACAGTTTTTTCCAGATTTTTCGAATTCCAAAAGGTAAACTAGCTGAGATCCTGAGGTCTAGTTATCACTACATAATAATATACTTTTTCTCGAATACAATATTATGAGATTAGTCGTATGGTTCAAAATATAAAGCAAAAAAAAAGGCGATATGATAAGTTCCTAAAGCAACGACTCGACTGCAAAATAATCATTCATCTTACCATTTCACTATCTTCTATAGTAATGTATTGTTGCATGCCCAAAGTCATCTTGAAATTTAGGTTACGAGATTCAAAAACAATCTGTAACAAAAAAATATTTTGTTGTTATTAATCATAAATATTAAATGTACTTACATTTTACGCGAAATTATATGTATCATACTCATTGCATATCTTATAGTTGGCGCGTGTCACTAGAAGCTGTCTAGTAAGTAGTAATAAACTAAGTAGTAATACATTAAAATTAATTAATAAAGGCAGACTGATACAATTCAGGTAAGTTATGTTTGCATATACTAGTACTCCAAAATCTAATCATAAAAGAGAGATTTTTGGTTGTAACGAAAAAATATGAGGTATATATTATGCAAGCAGTACCGTGATATATAGCTAGTACAAGTATATAATGTTACATCTCGTGACGTACGCTAATAAAATTAACAATATAGGGACGCTAACATTCTACTAGACAATTTCTAAAATCCATAATATATAACTTTTTGTATCTTGTAGAACGTGTATACATATTTATGAATATATTGTATTATAGTTAAACGATACAAAATATCAATAAGTAACAAAATTAATTTATATTTCAATTTTAAACGTGATAATAGTGAAATGTGGACTTAACACTCAAGATTTAATTAATCTGTGTATCCGATAGTTCTGACAGTAATTCGTTGACAACTTCACTGACAGTTTGGAGTGAGACAAAATCAGACAAGGTACTCTGTGCTGCAATTCAAACAGATATTTGATGTTTCTGTTTAGTATATATTATTTATAAATTTTAATACATTTACAATTAATGGTAATAAATTGAATTTACTATTTTGTTTAAAGTATGTAAAAATATATTCTTTATGTTTAGTTTCTGAATTGCTGTATTATATTGTGAATAACGGATTTGTGGTAACCCAAACTCAAGTTGTTGATGGACACATGTGGTTATGATATTGATGTTTTTTTTTTATAATTACAAGCAATTCAAGTCAATTCAATTCAATCAAAATTATTTTATTCTTATTTTCTGGTCTACATATCATCTTTATAAACTGCATTAAAACATATACAATAAGAATAAATTTGAACACAGGTTATCTAAAATTTATTTGTGAGATAAAATTAACTAATTTCCAGATACCTGGGCAATCATGATCATACCAGTTCGCTGCTTCACTTGTGGGAAGGTTATAGGCAACAAATGGGAAGCATACCTCGGTCTGTTGCAAGCAGAGTACACTGAAGGGTAATTATTAAACTATATGCTGTTAGTCAGTTTATAACATCAGTTGCCTACTCTTTTTTTTGTGTAATTAGAATGGTAAACAAGCTGATGGGCCACTTGGTAAATGGTAACTGTTGCCACACCTGAACAACAACACAGACATCATGTTATCATATTACTCCAATGGTAACATCCATTCTCATTCTGGAGGCCTAGTCACACCCAATAACCGAAATACAGCTAACAAAATAAGCTGCTCGATGCCTAAAGTAATGCCTAAAGTTTTACAAAGTCTACTTCAGTCCTTATTCATAAATGTTACCTATATATCAATATATATTATATATTAAAAAAAAATAGGTCTTATGAAAATTCATTTTTACAATAAGTAATATTATAAATAATAATAATGACTTATCAGTAATTCAGACTTATCATTAATTATTTATTAAGAAATACTCATTGTGTAAAGGCTATTGTATTGTAAATTTACTATTAAATTATTTGGACCATGTATGGTGATAGCTTTTTAATATTCATTTATATACAAGATTTTTAATATATGCATTAAATATGTAAGACAAAATGATACATGATCAAAAAATATACCAATTATCTTACTTGCCAGTTCTCGAGTACTGTTAATAAATTTCAACCGCAGAGTAAATGTGTTTGGCCAAATTTTTTATAAATTAATTATATACTGCTCTTCAGGTATAAATATTATTAAAGAATTTGTGTGATATTAACTTAGTATTTTTCTACATATTATAAGTAGGTATTTATAAAAAAAGATATTTTAATAAGAATCTATGAATGAGACACATTGAAATACATAAATATGTCAACAAAATTGCCTTTAATACTTGAAAACATATTTTTTGTAAATATGTCTTGTCAGATTTGATTACTCTAATGGCTCATATTGTCATTATGGTTTCCGTAAATTGTATTTCAAATTACAATTACCAAATGATGTTGTAGGAGTATATGATGTTGTTCATATCCTGTAGTATACATGCAATAATTGTATGATTGAGTTTTTAGTAATCATATTCTGTATGTTATATATATATATGAAGGGTATTTGTAATCAAATAACAAAACAGTCAATTGCAATTCGATTATTTGTATATTAAGTAATTGCTATGATTTCACAAGTATTAATCAACTTTTTGTATTAATCCTGTATATATAATATGTGATCTGTACATATTGGATAATAATGGAATAGTGCACCGTCTGTGCTAACAGTCTACGCTGGCGGGACACCAGTGAAGGTTGATAGGAGGTCTGGTCAGTTAGCCTTCTCAATTTCCATGGAGATCTATGTGGAGGTCAACCTGACATGGTATATTGCTAGCAATAACATTATTAGTCCACATTACTAAGAATCCCCTTCCCCCCTGCTATAGCATTAGGTTCTGTTAGATGCCAATGGTGCTTTTCATGGCAGGAAATCAGATTGGGATAGGATTGTCATTTTAGCCGATTACGAACATCAAATATTTTACATTATATATTTCTCCCTACCTGTCCAGTTCAGTATATAGATACAATTGACAAGAACAAAACTAACAATACATGGACGCTAACACTCTACTAGACAGTTTCTAAAATCCGTAATATATAACTTTTTGTATCTTGTAGAACGTGTATACATATTTATGAATATATTATATTATAGTTAAACGATACAAAATATCTATAAGTAACAAAATTAATTTATATTTTAATATTAAACTGGCAAGAAACGCAATTGACTTATCAACTGAGTAGTACAGTAAATAAAAAAATGTTCATATTTTTTTTAGTGTAAATAAAAAACTTGAACTAAAACGTTATTATCTTTTAAAGTAATATTATTTATTTTACCTTGAATTTAACTTTTACAACAGTCAACATACAAATATATAAATCTTTATAGCCTGCATGCCGTGAGATAGTTAAAATGTAACATAATTATGTACATATTATTATCGTTTCCCCTATGTACGTATGTCGCACAATGCAAACACGTGGTTATTGTAAAACGTGATTATAAGCCATATGAACTGGCTGCAACTCGTGGCTTTGCTCGAGTGAATTTAGGATAAATTCTAGTTTTAGCAAATATTTAGCTCAGGACTTTTACTTTAATCAAACGATACCAATAAATAAAACGTCTATACTATGCCATCTTTTATTACTTAATTAATTAATAGACGAAATAGTGGATATTATGCAATAAATCAAACATTTTTACAAAATTAATTATGTCCGTCCCGCCTTTGGGGGCTATTTTCTCAGCTTGCTGTATATACCTACAAGTTGACAGTTTGAATAACTTATTCCATAAATTTGTCATCTTAACTTCTCCAGACATATTTACGTGAAATCTTAATAACACACAAACAGTAAATTTTCGCCAGTTCAAGTTTTTATAATTTTATTATGTCTATTACTATTTATTTGTATGTAGCCTTTTAAATATGTATAGGCAACAAATATCTCATTATGTTTCTTTCATCTCTTGATATACTAAATACTATAACTAGTTAGATAATGTTACTATATTAAAAATATTGTTTACGGTGTTTCTGTAATTTAATTTTAAATATATCAACATGACAAAATTTAAATAGGTACAAATAAACAATATTCTCGTATAATTTATAACAGATGCCTGATAGTTTAGAGGCCCCTTAGGAATGAGAACGATTCTCTATCTACAGATGTCACATGACGTGATTGCCATCAGGACTTATATTGGCTCTTAGCGTGTTGGCTATTACATTAAATAAAAAAAACTTTTGTTCCAGTGACGCGTTGGATGCGCTCGGTTTGAAGAGGTACTGCTGTCGTCGAATGCTGCTTGGTCATGTGGATCTTATAGAGAAACTCCTTAATTATGCACCATTGGAGAAATAATTTATTATAGAATTAAATTAATAATAGTATGTGAGGTTTAATTAAATTTAATGTATAAGTTGATTCCAAAAAATGATGTGATAACGAAATAAATTGATTTTGAATATGAAAATCTTTTAATCATGTAAATTACTAATATATGATAATTAATAGAGAATTCACGTCCCAAACTAAGCACAGCTTGTGTTACTACCTACTTAACAACTACTACTTCAATATATATTTTTTGTAAATATATACAAATAAACATAGGCTTAGATCGATACCAATAATTGTACTTATGAACACAAATATTTGTGTCGTGTGAGAATCGAACCCGCGACCATCAGAGCATACATTATTTAAAAGTATATATATTTAAGATTATCAGGAAAAAAAATCATGTACATATCTTTATTAATACAGAAGTTATAGATTTATGAGATGAAAATGAGTCAAAGTTCCCACTGTGCGACGGCGCCATTATATCTATTTATGTAGTTTCTCATTTTTTTTGATTTGTACTAAATCTAATAAAGCATTTCCATATTGAATTCAACAGTAGTGTCAGTCGCAGTCTCCAGTTTTATATTTATCATAAATTGTAAATAATTCAATACTGCGTAAATGTCCACATTTGGTTTTGTATTATTACGTTATTATCGCTAAATAAAGTATAGAGTAGTATTTAAGTAAGTATTTTTCTCTACAAAGTAACCCCAACTCTAGAGACAGACACATTAAAAACATATTAATCCGCATAAGACGAAATTAAATCCATTTGCAGACAATGCATAAAAACCAGCACAGAAAACATAAGCTCTAATCTACATGTACTGGCAATTGTAACCAGTTATTTCCAGTTTTCTGTATAAAGTTCCTCAATTGCAAGGTAATTTTAAAAAGCAATTACATTGACTTATTTTATAATAGGTCATGTTAGAGGAAAACCTAAAGTTGGAAGAGTGAGGTTATTTATTTCTAATCATTCATGAAAATAGACTGGATTAATAAAATATTGGCCCGCTCGAATTTCATATAGGTACTGGTAGGACAGTAGTGGAGAATGTTTGGAAGAGCTACATTCTTTCCGGGTAGATCCGCGTCCTGTCTAACATGGTAGATTGGAATCGCTTGGGCCTCTGATCTTCATAACTATCAATCGCCTCCCCAAGCACATACGAAAACTTACGTGATATTTAGATACAAGAGATTAATTAAAACTGGATTTTATTTATAATTTGATATACAAACAACTGTTTGTAACCAGTATTTTAGCGAGTTCGAGTATTTCTGGGCGATACGGATCTTTCAATCAAACTAAACTTTATATTTGTAACAATAAATGTTAGGGAAAAAAACTTACCATAAATTGCTTACTCGCCTGCACAGAATTACACGATCCACTAACTTAATCAAAAAAAGAACATACATATCTAGTATCATATTCGTTAACAACACGCTCAACACCCTAGTAAGATATACATTTTTTTATTTAATTCTGTAAACATTATCATTAGGCAGTAGGTACCTACATGAGAATAATTACATCTTTTGTATATAAAAAGTTATAGCAGATATAGTATAAATTCTAGTTTTTACACCAAATGTTATTTTAAGAAGTATCTAAATATATATCCACTTTTTATGGTCAGTTATAATTAGAAATGAACATAAACAACCTACCATCTTTAAGCACAATACTAACAAACAACCATACACGTAAGTGCTTTGACTTGAAGAATTCAAATATAAATCCCTTTTATGGACCGTAGTAAGTAAACGAAGCATTTGCGCATAATAATAATGACTTGAAAACATCATTTCAGCTAAGTGAATGATAATAGTCATGACATCATCAGCATTCAGGATTCATGAATGTTTGAAATGTGAAAACAAAATTGTAGTTAGGTGTCTGTATAATTTACCTATTTAAGCATTTGCTAATCTCTTAACATTACAGAGTTACCTACATATTTGAATTAAAGACTGCTAGTTATAGAAGATACGACGTTGATTTTATAATGTATATAAATCGTAGGTATATTTACCATGATAATACTACCTACTAGGTAGGTACTGGTTGAATATGCGACTTTGTACCCCTTTTAATTTTTTGTTTGAAAATTAACGGAATGAAATAAACATTAAATTTAGTGGTGAAGATTACCACAATATAGTAGAGAAAACAAAATACAGTACAGACAACCGCAATAAATTGATTAAGCTGTTTCAATGATTAGCACGCACAAAGGCAATGATGCGTTTAAACAAACAAATATTCTTTTGTGTTCTGTTACATTGATAAAATACCACATTAATAGCTTTTCTCATTTATCTTTCATGTATATGTATCAGCTACATTTTTATTATACACATGTATTACCAATGGACAGCAATGTGCACCGCAAAATAACTTTTTGGTTAGCGATATTTGTTGAAAAAGAGAGATCTAAAGATAATAATTATAAATATCTAAAGACAAGATGACAATGATGAAGAATTGTCTGACACACATCTTCACTGCATTCTCAGAAAGGGTAAGCGGATTGCTAGTAATGGGTAATGTACCTCATTATTGTTAGTATACCATGTCCGGTTGACCTTCTCGCGTTTTATTCTATGGTTAAAACGTATATCATAAATTCCCCACGCAAGACCTGATTGATTTCTTCATTATATTGTTTTCCACTGATGCTTAGTCATCGTATACAGTTAATACAGAAGAAACCTATTCCATTATTATTCATAGGCATTAGAAATAAAAAGAAGAAAAACATAGTTCCTTATTGTGGTCAAGTAGCTCCGTAAACCTCATTTCATTGTACCGAGATTGTATTGGCAGTCATGGTTCACTCGCTGCTGTCAAAGGTGGCAGGATAATAGAACCCATTAGTGCACCCAAACGGAACCGCAACCATAGTAGCATCTGGCAGACCTAGTTATTTTGTTTTCTAATACAGAGGCATTGGACCTTGACCCTATAATGATACTTATATATTCTATAAAAATAAATGGAATGGCAATAAAAGGTGACGGCCTGGTTCACCTGCCTGCGCTAACAGTTTACGCTGGCGGGGCACCAGTGGAGAATGATAAGACGAGCATGAGGTCAGTTCAGTTAGCCCATCGCGAAAATTCACCAAGAATTTATCACGATGGTTTCCAGGGAGAACCGCGTGGAGGTCAGCCTGTCATGGTACATTGCTAGCAATAAGATCATCAAACCACGTTACTGACATTCGCCTATTGGATAAATTTATAGCAATCATCGCCTACAACGCCTACATCGCCAGCACTATAGACACAGAACAAATTTTTTTTTGCTATGTGACTACGGATATCACGCCATTACGGAACGGCTATAGTTCCCATTATCCTATTCTATCCTGAGAGACTAAGGTGTCAAGCCTCATTACCGTGTCGTTTTACAGTCATATCCTGTCATTTCTCACCCATTAAACTGGAACACTGGAATTTGCTGATACGAATATCTTCACGTAGATAACACAATCAGTTTGGTTTTCTTAAATCAACGATTAATTTATAATAAATATTCAAATCTAGATTAAACAAGCGTTCCTATTTGCTAGCAGACTCAAAATACGTTACCTTGCCCGAACGTTGGTTTTTCGTTTGTAGGCTTATTTGAAGAAAATAAATAAAATATATATTTCTGTAACTCTATAATCCGTCAATTGCAAATATACTAGTTTGATATAATGATTTCAAAATGAAAGGCCTATGCAATTCGACGACTATTTATGAGTGACCGAAACCAATCAAACGAACTCATTTTTGTGGAAGTACTTACAGTTACATTATTACAAAGTTCCCATATCAATTTTCCAGTTCCACCATCAGATCAGCTCGATCACATCGTAATGGTTCATTGTCATTCAAATTAAATAAAATTTCAGCTCAATTGAACATCAGGAAATGAATGCAAAACATATAAACATCATAAAAGACTAAATGACAGCTTTCCTGTAACTCCGCATTTCTACACATTCGTTATACATGACATATAGGTGATACATACATATATGTTCATACCAGATCGTTTGGGGGTTAATTAGAGAACACCGAGTGCCATTCGCTTCTTCTATTCTTGCTTGTATCATTCAACACATTCACAGTACCTAATAACTCTTTTCATGCTTGTGTACAATTATTTTTTTCTAATATCTTTATGACGCACAAAAAATGTCGCAAAGTAAATACCTAAATGTATTTTAATATCAATACATACTTGAATGAAAATTAATAATAGTTACTTATATTCTCGAATTGTTAGTGTAATTCGTATCAAATACACTTGCGTGTTTTTGATCAAGCTCCTAAGGAGAAAAACAAAAATAAAAACAGCGTCTTTGCTATTAGATGTATATTATATTATATTTATACATGCAGTATAAGATGTGATATAAATATTATAAATAATAGCAATTCTGAGGCTAAATATATACCAAAACCAAATGACATAACGGATACAATTGGTGGAAACTGCCATAAAGAATCTGTGACCTTTCCACGTGTATTCTCAACCGTTCCCCAGACAGTTTAATGATGTCCCGAGACCTTCACTCCCCTCGGTTTCGGTCGGTGATATATTGCGAATATATTGATGATTTGCCACTACCTGTTGCTAAGCTATATTCAATTGTACCCTTTTTTAGGGTTCCGTCATATTCATTTTCTTTTTGTGACTCGAATGTCAAATATCCTGACGGCATGCCTTATACATTTTGAAGCGTGTTCTGAGTACAATAATAGCTAATTAATTGAACTATGTATGAACACAAAAAAAGTTATACTCTTTAAGCTTTTCGCACTGAGTTTGGTATCACACATGCTAATGTGGAATTATATGGATAAAGGATAGCGTATTAAATATATAATAGATCCTTTATTGATTTTCTTTAAATTTGATTTTTTTTAGTTTTTAATGGAATTACACTATTTTGTTTAATTTCTCTATCTATTCTATTATATGTACGTATTTAATACATTAATTTAATTTCTGCTTCCGATACAAATCATATTGTTTTGTTACACTATAGTACAGTAGTAATACTAGTACTAGACAGTAATCGAATTCGCCACGGGTATATTTTTAATAAAAAAAAATGTAATGAGTTTCGTCAAAGTTTTCCAATGCTAATTAGCCGGCCATTTCTTAGAAAGTTATTTATATAAAAGAGTTCGTTAAAATTATACTAATATTATAATAAAATTGGTATCCCCAGTAATAAGAACAATTATTTTCTCGTATTAGTTAAAGCACATT